CAGTATTCTTGCCTGGAGAATTCCACAGACAGAGGAGCCTGGTGGGCTACAGTCCATGGGAGTCCCAAAGAGTCTGACACAACTAAGTGACCATCACTTTCACTTTTCACTTCATACTGCTCTCATTTCACAAGACTGCTTTTTAGAAGCTTCCACCAGTCCCCTGGGAAACAAAGGAGTAAAATAGATAACACAAACCTCACCTGAACCTTGCTCATCTTCTCCAGTTCTTAAGAAAGGGCGTGTAACTCCAGGGTGTGTTCTGTCTTCTCTCTTTCCAGACCTGCCTGGAGGTTATGGTCAGGGATCTCAGGTCAGGCTGCTGTCAGAATCCATGATCTCCCAAGACTGGAGCCTCCTTCTTCTATTACTGAAGATGGTCCTGTAGACTAGAACCTGTGGATTCAAGAGCAAATTCAACAACTGAACCTGTGGCCACAGCTCTCTCTAGCCACGAGTACTTACTCTAACAGAATGTCCCAATAGTTCAAGTCTCTTTAACTCCCTGAAAGCTTTTCTATCATGGGGCTGGGTCCCACAGAAACATACGAAATGGGTGAGAGGAATGCCTTTTTTGACAAAGTTGGAAGAGAGTGAAAGTGGAAGAGAAGATGGGAAATAAAAACCAGCTCATGGTCTTGTCCATGGCTAAGATCTCACACAGATCCAGTTCAGGAAAAATGAAGTACAAAAATGTTGGCTCTATAAACAACAAGGTCCTACTGTATAGCACAGGGAACTATATATTCAGTATCTTACGATAAACAGTACTGGAAAAGAATATAACAGAATGTGTACATATATATAATATAGTGGAGTAGGAAATGGCAACCCACTCCAGCTTCTTGCCTGGAGAGGCAAGAGAATTCCATGGACAGAGAGGCCTGATGGTTACAGTCCATGGGGTTGCAAGAATCAAGACATGACTGAGCAATAAAAAGAAATGAGATGGTAAAGAATCCACCTGCAATGCAGGAGACCTGGGTTCAATCCCTGAGTCGGGATGATTCCCTGGAGAAGGGAATGACTACCCACTCTAGAACTCTTGCCTAGAGAATTCCACATAGAGAGCCTGGGGGGTTACAGTGCATGGGGTCACAAAGAGGCAGACACAACTGAGGAACTAACAATTTCTTTTACTTTCGCACAGTGGAATACTAATAGCAATGAAAAGAAATGATCTATTGCTACATGCAATAACTTAAGATGAATTTCACAACAAAATATTGAACATAAGAAGCCAGATACAAGAGAACAGGTAATGTATGATTCCACTTACATAAAGTTAATAGGCAAATTTAATATGTTTTTAGGAAAGTAATTGCCTCTGGAGTGGAGGGAGATTAGGAGGTGGAGGCTTCTAGGGCACTAGAATAATCTTCTTTTTTTTTTTTTTAGCCATGCTGTTTGGCATGTGAGATCTTGGTTCCCCAAGCAGGGATACCAGGAATTGAATCCATGCCTCTGTAGTGGTAGGGCAGAGTCTTAACCACTGGACTGCCAAGGAAGTCCCTATAATATTCTCTTCTTTTTTTATTTGGTTTTTATTTCTGTAATATTCTAGTCTTTAATTTTGGGTGTTACACTTGAAAAAAGCTTTTAAAGAAAAGTACAGATCAGTTTCACTTATACATTTTCACAATCTTTTTTTTTAAATTTCAAGCAAAAGAAGGAACAGTAATTTAAACCTCAGGTACAAAAAACCCCCATAGAAAACAGTATACTCAGGGACTCCCCTGGTGGTTCAGTGCTTAAGAGGCTGCCTGCCAATGCAGGGGACATGGGTTCAATTCACGGTCCAGAAAGATTCCACATGCCTTGGGGCAACTAAGCCCAGGCACACCAACTTCTGAGCCCGTGTGCCTAGAGTTCGTGCTCTGCGACAAGAGAAGCCACCTCAGTGAGAAACCCCGTGCACCACAACTAGAGGGCAGATTCTACTTGCCACACCAGAGAAAGCCCGTGTGCAGCAATGAAGACCCAGCGCAGCCATAGATAAAGAACAGTTTAAAAATTAAAAAAAAAAAGAACAGCATAATCAAACTCCACACATCCATCCATCGTGTGACTTTAACAACTATCAACTCAAATCTAATTTATCTACACCCCCACCACCACTGGATTATTCTGAAGCAAATCCAGAACATTTTTTGATTTCTAGGTTCAAAAATATTTGGCAAAATATAAGCAAACAGAATTCAGTCCCATGTTAAAAGAACAAATCATTATGAACAGGTATGGTTTCTTCCAGGAATATAAAATATTGAGAAATCTTGCAACATAAAGAAAATGAAGAGAGAGAGAAATTATCAATGAAAATAAAATTAAAAAGCCTTTTGAGGGGACTGTAATGTACAGCAGGGTGATTACAGTTAAATACTGTATTATACCCTGGATTCGATCCCTGAGATGGGCATGACAACCCATTCCAGTATTCTGGCCTGAAGAATCCCCATGGAGAGCAGAGCCTGGTGGGCTACAGTCTATGGGTTCACAAAAAGTCGGACATGACTGAGCAACTAACCACATACACTTGAAAGTTAATAAAAAAAAAAAGTAGATTTTCAGTGTTCTCACCACTAAGAAGAAATGGTAATTATGTCACATGATGCAGATGCTGGCTAACTTATGGTGGGATCATTTTGCAATATGTAAGTGTATTAAATAAACACAACTGTACACCTTGAAACTTACAGAATGTTCTATGTCAATAACATCTCAATAAAGTGGGTGGGAAGCCTTTGAGAAAGTTTAATAACTTAATAAAGTGCAGGTACCATTTATTCAGACTATAAATACTATGCTTTGTACTCAAAGAACTTTTGCTCATTTCATCTTTCTAACAGCTATGAAAACGGGAATTATGACAGCTTTTTTCACAATTGATGAAGCCTGACTCAGAGATTAACCTACCCAAGTCAGAGGGAGAAGCAGGTTTTTCTTACTCCAGTCCATAAACTTGCCACCTGACCAACTCTATTTGCAGATGACAAAGATGCTCAACTAGAAAACATAAAGAAATCAATTTGAAGGAATCAATTAGTAATATCATGAGTGGAATGAGGTGACAAAATTAGTATCTCTTTTAAATTTTTGCTCTTGTGCATTACATAAAATTAGAAGACACAAAAAAGAGGGAGCGGGGTCATACGGGAAAAAAAATGACACTATTTACAGTTACAACAAAAGTATAACCCATTTACAAACAAACATAAAAAAACATGTCCAAAACACATATAGAAAAAAATCACAGCTCATCAAAGAAATAAAAAAACTTGAGTTAAAAGGAATCCATTTACACGTTCCTAAAAGTGTAGTACCTACATCTGTATCGCTTCTTCTCAAATTAAAATACCCACTTGATGGAACACAACTGCAATAGTTTTTCAGTTTTTTTTTTTTTTTTAGTTTTTTTTTTAAAAGGAAATAAAACTTTCAAATGGTTATGATAGGATGTTAGATTAAAATGTATAAAATCATACCAATACCTACACACCTGATCCCTACGCTAAAAATGAAATATACTAAATTTTAACAAGAGTTGCTTTCTGGAGGATTGTTTAAAGCGTGTTAGTTGCTCAGTCATGTCTGACTCTTTGCCAACCCATGGACTGTAGCCTGCCAGGCTCCTCTGTCCATGGGATTTCCCAAGCAAGAATACTGGAAAGTGAAAGTTGCTCAGTTGTGCCCAACTCTTTGCGACAGTCCATGGAATTCTCTAAGCCAGAATACTGGAGTGGGTAGCCTTTCCCTTCTCCAGGGGATCTTCCCAACCCAGGGATCAAACCCAGGTCTCCCATATTGCAGGCGGATTCTTTACCAGCTGACCCACAAGGGAAGCCCAAGAATACTGGAGTGGGTTGCCGTTCCCTTCTCCAAGGGATTTTTCCCCACCCAGGGATCGAACCTTGGTCTCCTGCATTGGCAGGCAGACTCTTTACTGCTGTGTACCAGGGAAGCCCTGATTTTAGGATGAACTTGAAAACATATTTTCAATAGGAATATACAATAAACATGGATGCAAGACCAGAAACGCCACATCTAAAATTAAACATGCAGTAAGCTGCCCAAACGCTATCCCTAACGTGGACACGAGTTCAATCCCCCAACCAGACATCCCAAATGTTACTCTCCAGCAAAGACCTCCCAATTTGTCCTGCTGTTAATCATGTTCAAGACACAGCAAAGCCAAACAAACTGAAAGGTTGGAGTCTGGAACAGAGAAAGGTTTATATCAAGGCCTTGCAATGAGACAAGACGGCTCTTGCCCTAAAAAGCCCTTAACTCCCTGAAGGGATCTGGCAAATCACTTTTAAAAGCCAGGTGAGGGATGGGGTTCTCAGGATCTAAGATCAGCTTGTGCACAATTCTTTAGTTGGCTAATAGTGAGGTAGCAGGGTGGTTTCACAGGGGTTAATGGTATCAGTCCTTAGGTTGCAGGAGGCCTGGGGTTCTGTGCTCTACCTCACTAAATAGCATATTAATATCTTCTTCTTTGTTGGAGAGGGGGAGGTTTTTTTTTTAACCTCTGCAAAACAACTCATGAAACGTACATCAAATACTACTATCTAGGTACTTCAGAGAGGAACTGAAGCAGAGAGTATGAGCGAAGGCCTGTGCCAGGAAGGCCTGGTGGCGTCCAGCTAGGTTACAGATCCAACACAGTAACCCGTGTGCTCCCCCACCAGGGAAAACTCTCAACACGAATCCCCGGGTTGGTCCACAAACACAAAAGGCAGCAGGCTGCAAGACCGCTCGCTTCACCCCAACGCCTACCCCTACGCAATCTGGAACAACAACAACAACAAACACCCTAAGGCGCTCTTCCTGGCCCTGAAACACACCCAGAACTCAACACTGACCTGATGGATGCCTTCTGTCTTCACCGCTGGAGGCAAATCACAGAACAGCTGTTTTAAAAACCAGGCGACCACCCTCTGAAGCAGACACGACCGCTGGAAGATGAAAGGATGGCGGCCGAAGAGGTTCACAAGCAGCGGTTCCAGAGACCCGGATCCTGGCTTCTCGCGAGCTTTCGATGACGCAATATTTCCACGCCGGGTTCGCGGCTCTTTACCAGTAGTAGCTGTTTTTCCGCCTAGCTCCGTTTGACAGATGAGTGCTTTGTTTTTCTTCCTTTCGCGGGAAGGTGTAAAATGGTGAGAAGCTATCGAAAAGGACTTATTTCACCCTATTTTCAGCCCACCTAACTCGTTGGGCCATGACTTTGCAACGTTCGCCAGGGGCGCTGCAACAAACGCTTAGCTTCTCAGAAACTCAAGGGTACCTGGTTCTCTGCAGGCTGGACAGGGATGTTCGCGGACGTGAAGGCCATTTGATTTGAAAGATAAGGAGAAGCTAAGAAGCGCGACCGTCTCAAAGAAACCCAACAGGGAGGGATCCCAAACCAAACCTAGCAACAATTGAAGGAGAACCGAGTAGTATTCTAGGAATGCGGACTGGAGAGGGTGTTGTAGGGTTTAGAGAACCGTTCAGGAGGGCACAGGTCTGAGAGTGGGTGAAACGGCGGGATTATACAGCTCTTGTAATGAGTGGTGTGGAGGGAAATGGGGAACACTTTTGATCGGGGCAAAGCCAGCGGAGAAGCGTGGTTCCCCCTTCCACAGTGGGACTAGCCAAAGATGGGGTAAGATTTTACTTGCACAAAGGTAAGAAATACTTGAATCAAAAGCTCTGAGGGAAGTTATTCTGTTGAGTATTGTGACGCAACTGATGAAGCACCGCTCCCTAAGTCAGGAAGGTCAGAAAAGGAAATGGCAACCCCCTCCAGGATTCTTGCCTGTGAAATCCCATTGACAGAGGCACCTGGAGGGCTACAGTCCATGGGGTCGCGAAAGAGTCGGACACGACGTAGCGATAAACAACAACCCTGTAATCATACAACTTGGTTCAGAGAACTTTCGAGCTAAAGGGGTTACTCATTTATTTATTGACCCAGCAGATGTTTATAAAATGCATACTCTGTGGCAAACAGGGATCTGGGGTGCTGGAAATATAAAAGGTATAAATTCAGGAAAAATAGCATGGTTCTTTTTAGCTGTACGTTCTGTTACTGACCAGGGTCCTTGGACTCTAACCAATAGAAATTGGTAAGAGGCCAGATAAATTCAGGCAAGGCTTTATTGGGCCTGGTGCTGTAGCAGGAGGACATGAAAACAAGTAACAGGTACCCTTTCTTGCTAGGGGACAGGTGGTGAGCTGGTGCATTAAATGGCGTGAGGGTAGGGCAGGTCCAGGGGAGGGGGGTGGCTTGGGTGATCTGCCCATTCCTTTTAGGGCTGTTTGCAGGGAGCACACATAGGATCCTGCTTTTGCTCGCAGTACCTCAGAAGTAGCGGTTGGGTTTGGGTCTTTGTGTATCTTGTTCATAATTTGCCCCTATTGCCTATGCCAGGCAGTTCTTTTTAGTCCCTTATAGTTCCTTTATATTCTGGATGGGCCCTTTGTCCAGGTGCAGGCACTGCAGCAAAGTGTCCTGGGTCCCAGCCTGTCTCAGTACTGGTGTGTAGAATGTAAAAGGAAAGTTGTTGGTTTGTCTTCCTCATTATAGTGAGAGTTTTGATTCCCATCTTCAACGTGATCAGCAGTGCCCGGAGGGCAGAGCAGTGGACCAAAGACATTAGCCTTAAGATTTAATGGAATTTGTTTCTCTAGCTTTTGGACTTGCTTGGGACCAGTCACTCGTTTTTCCTTATGATTTATCTGTCTTATGATGGAAGTATGTATTGTACATCTGTCCCACCATTGTATTTTTGAAGAACATAACTTACCTGGTTTCACGGGTCCAAAGATGGAGAGGAATTTTTCCTCAGGGTGAATAGTACATCACGTCTTACCTATATTTGGCTCAGATGAGACTTTGGATATAGACTTTTTTTAAGGTATTTGTTTTTGGCTGTGTTGGGTCTTCCTGGCTGGGCAGGGGCTTTATCTAGTTGCAGTATGTGGGCTCAGTAGTTGTGGCACACAGGCTTAGTTGCCATAGGCATTTGGAATCTTCCTGGACCAAGGGTCAAACCCATTTCCCTTGCATTGGCAGGTGGATTCTTAACCACTGAACCACAAGGGAAGTCCTGGATTAGAGTTAATCCAGGGGGCTATTGGGATGCTATTGGGATGAAATGTATGTATTTTGCATGCAAGAGGGGCATGAATGGAGGGGACAGGGCCAGTGGTGGAATTTTAAGGACTAAATGTTTGTGTCCCCTCAGATTCACATGCTGAAGCCCTGAAACCCACTGTGGCTCTATTTGGAGATGGGATTCCTAAGGTAAGTAATTCAGGTTAAATGAAGTTGTAAGGGTGGGGCTCTGCTCCAGTTGTATCTGCTGGAACCTTGACCTTGGACTTCTAGTCTCTGGAACTATGAGAAAATTAACTTCTGTTTAAGCCACCTATGCTGGTATTTCGGTATGGCAGCCAGAGCAGTGTAATACAGGAATGTTTATGTATGACCTAAGATCTTCATATATTCCACATTAAAACCCTTAAGAAAACAATTGAGATGTTCACTCCAAGTGAGTCTTAAGTTTTCACATCATGTGTTAAGTTTTCAAAAAACATTTACAATGCCATTAAGATATCTCACCTACTTACATGCCTCTACCACTAGCTTCTCCCTAAGGGACCTGACATAATGCCCTTCCTCAAACCCAGTTTTCCAGCAGTAGACTTGGCCTGAGCCTTACACCAGTCACTACTGACATTACTTCTGGCTACAGCTCAATGATTATAGAGATTCGGAAAACATTTGCCAGATTGGTTAAAGGCCTGTAGTATTCTAGTCTAGAACCAGATTCAGCCCACTCTTGCAGGGCTCCTCAACTCATTCCCAATCTGATTCAGTCTCTCCAGCTCTGAGGAGAATGAGGTAACAGGCCAAAGTTGATTCTATGAAATCTACTTCTTTCTTCCTCGTGTGACTCCCAAACATGTTGGACTCAAGAGTGCCTGAGTTAGGAGGAAATGGAACCATCCACCTTTTTTCCTGACATCTGTTTCCATCCCATCAGTGAGGCAAAAGATAGGGTTGGGCAACTATGTCCAGAAGGAAGAATGCAGCTGAGTTAACCAGTGTAGACTTTCATATTCCCAGGATTCTGAGAATAATCTGGATAATCAGAGAAGGGGAGAGCTAGGAGAGAAGCAATCTTAATTTGTGTTCAGATTGCCCGTCTTTTCATGTTTTAAGGAAAAAAAAAAAAACAAACCAAGGTCTGTGTTGCAGTGTATTTTATTATCTAATTTATAGGTTTAAATTACTAATTGTCTTTGGGCTTTCATTTCACCTTGCAAACCTTCCTTTCACTAACTTTTCAAGTCTAGAAAATCTTAAAAATCACATTTAAGGTGACCTTTGTTGTACAATGCTTGGTCTTATTTATCAGTTGAAGTTAAGCTCATCCAAGGACATTAAATTGCATTTATGACCTGAATATTCATTTTTCTTATTAGAGAATTCAATTGTCTGAAATAATATTTAAATAAGTTTAGAGTCAAAGAAATGTAGCAGCTAATTATCATATACTGGGTGGGTGTTGAAGATAATTTTTTTTTTTTTCAGTTGGGAGAAATGAATGAATATAAGAAATGAATATGTATAACAAAAACTACTGTAATGATGTAAAGTAATTAGCCTCCAACTAATAAAAATAAATGGAAAAAAAAAAAAAAGAAATGAATATAACCTGTGATGTGAGGTAGATTATCTCCTTAAAATTTTGGAAACATAAGCATAGTAACCAGGCTTCTTGGTTGCTCAGACAGGAAAGAATCTGCCAGCAATACAGGAGACCCTAATTTGATCCCTGGGTCAAACCCCTGGCAAATGGAATGGCAACCTACTCCAGTATTCTTGCCTGGAGAATTCCATGGGCAGAGGAGCCTGACAGGTACAGTCCATGGGGTCACAAAGAGTCAGACATGACTGAGTGACTAACATTTTCACTTTTAAGCATAGTAACTAAGAATATGGTTCCAGGTTTCCTGTCCAAAAATGTACATCAGGTATATTATGTAATGCATTAAAGTGGGAAATGGTACATAAAGCTCTCAAATACCCCTCATTTTCACAGGCTTTGCCTCACAAGAACTAATTAAGATATTCGTCAAGTAGTATGCTCACAGTGTTTTGTGTGTGATTTCACCAGCTGATGGATGAGGCAGAATGTACCACTGAAAACCTTGCCACATTCACTGCCTTCAGTTTCTCTCTAGTATGTAATGATACCTATTGAGGGCAAGGGTTTTACCACTCTCATATTTTTTACCCACTTTAAGCTCACCTATGACTAATGGTAATCACTGATGATAGGGTCTTTCTTCCAAAACACAAGCTTTTCTAACTTCTGCATTCACAAGCTTCCTGTTTACATATAACCATGCAATCAGCTATACATTATGGCCCAAGGCTTTTCCAAATAGAATGCACCACTTTTTTCCTATGTATTTTTCATGACATAAAATAAGATGTAATTGACCACTCAAGGCATAACCACATTCATGGCATCCATAAACCTTTCTCTTCTGCACAAGCTCTCTGGTATTTCCTGAGGATGCACATCTGGCAGCTGACTGTTCCATCAGGACTACATCCCTACCTGCTAGGAGTCCACTGATGTGTAATGATGTCTGAAGGGTCACAGAAGGCATCTGCACAGTCACTATATTAACAGGGTTTTTCCCCTGCAAGAGTTCTCTAGTATCTAAGAAGCTGTGACCCTTTGTGAAAGGGTATTCCACCTTCACGGAATCTACTTGTTTCTCTCTTGTGTATGTCCTCTTGTGTTTAACCAGACATGACATGTGGGAGAAAGCTCTCCCACACTCGTTGCATTCATAGCGCCTCTCTCCCATGTGAGTTCTCCAGTGGACAATGAGCATTGTCTTTGTGGTGAAGGCTTTCCTACAGTCACTGCACACATAAGGTTTCTCTCTTGTGTGAATTCTCTGAGGTTTAATGAGTCCTGATTTCTGCGAACAAGATTTTCCATGGTCAGTACATACAAAGGAAGTCTTTCCTGTATGGAATCACTGATGTGCTATGAGGCATGTCTTCTGGCTGAAGGCCTTACCACATTCAGTGCATCCATAGGGTTTCTCCCCAGTGTGAGTTAGTTGATGTATGAGGAGATTGCCCTTATGTATGAAACCTTTCCCACGCTCACTGCATATATAAGATTTTGCTCCTGTATGGATTTTCTGATGCAGAATGAGCTATGGTTTTCTGGAGGAAGCTTTCCCACACTCACTGCTTACATGGGGTTTTTCTCCTCTTTTGTGTTGTTGGTGTATAGTGAGCTCTGCCTTTCCAAAGACAGCTTTGCCACATTCAGTACATTGGTAGGCCTTCTCTCCTGTATGAGTTTTCTGGTGCTCAGTTAGCTTGAACTTTCTGTAGAATGCTTTCCCACATATACTGTATATATGGGGTTTATTTCCTGTATGTGTCTTCTGATGTTCAGTAAGCTGAAATTTACTGAGGAAGGCTCTTCCACACTCAACAACACTCATGGGGTTTCTTTCCTTTGTAAGTTCGCGGATGTTCAGTGAACTTGAACTTCTTAAAGAATGTTTTCCCACACAGACTACATCCATGGGGTTTCTTTCCTGTGTGAATTCTTTTATGTTCATTGAGCTGAGACTTCTTGAGGAAGACTTTCCCATATTCAGTACATTCATGGGCATTCCCTGTTTTGTGTATTTCCTAATGTTCAATTTCAGTATGAGTTTGTTCATGGTGAGCATGGAGCAAGGATCTCCCATCCCCATTAAATTCAGCAGGTTCCTTTTTGTTGCAGCTTCTATTCTGGTTAGTTATTTCTAAATATGATTTCAGAGTTTTCATGTGTAAATCAAATACATCATGGTTTGGCCTTAAAGGAAAACAACTTCTGCTCTGATGAATAATATTCCCAAATACATTCTCTTCATAACACTTCAGCATATTTTGGTTTTGCCATTGCAACTGCACATGATCATCCACTTCCTTAATGTCTAGGAAAGAGAATGATGAACACTTTATGAGCATCAGATGGAATAAAACTATTTCAAAAATACCTTGGGGTGAGCTGGCTCTTTAATGAAAAACCTAAGATATGAAATATAAAAGAAATTCCAAGTGTAAAAGTACCTTATCTTTAAGAAACTTTTCAAAATTATAGTTAAATATATTTAAGATAAATTTTACTGTTTTAATGGTTTTGGGGGGGCTGGGCCATGCAGGATCTTAGTTCCCTGACTAGGGATTGAACCCATGCTCCCTGCAGTGGGAGCAGAGTCCTACCACTGGACCACTAGGGAAGTCCCTTAACCGTTTTTAAGTGTACTGTTCTGTGGCATTAAGCATAATCACAATGTTGTACAACCATCAGCAATTTTCATCGCTAGTTTTTTGGGTTTTTTTCATCTTCCCCAACTGAAAAACTCTGCATCCATTAAGCACTAATTCCTATCTCTTGGAAATGGTTAAAAACATGATAATATAAAACACCAAACGACCCAAAAGATGTCAGGCATCAGTGTAAAATAGAGTAAATTCACCATGAATAAATATAGATTTGTCTGCTTTATAAATAAGGCCCTGGAGACAGTTAAATACCGTCACTGTTAGCATCACCTCACAGAGGCTGGTGGGACACCCAATTTCAAAATGGTGAAAGGCATTCATTCAACACATCCTTATTAAATGGCTACTCCATAAACCAGACATGGTGCTCATGTTGTAGAAACACAAAAAAATTCTTTACTTAAACTGAAGCCATATTCTGTGTGTAGAAAGGGAAACAATAAACAAGATAAGGAATGAAGTACGCAGTTCAAATGTGACAGTGGTTTGAAGAAGCAAAGGAAGTAATAAGACGTAGAAGAAATGATTTATTTGGAGGGATAAGACTCATGAGATTTAATGATTTTGTTTAGGCTCCCTAGCCTAATGAACTGAGAATGAGAAATTTTAGACAGATCTTCTCTAATGAAACAAAGAACAGGAACAGCAAAGGTGTTAAACACAGGACCACAGAGGGTAAAGAGGGGCTTTCCAGGTGGTGCTTGTGGTAAAGAACCTGCCTGCCAATGCAGGAGATGTAGGAGATGCACATTCGATCCCTGGGTCAGGAAGATGCCCTGGAGAAGGAAATGGCACCCCACTCCAGTATTCTTGCCTGGAGAATCTCATGGACAGAAGGGGCTGGCAAGCTACAGTCCATAGGGTTGCAAAGAGCTGGAAATGACTGAAGTGGCACATGCACACACACAGAAGGTAAGGAAGAGTCAAGGTAATGTCAGGATTTAAGATGTACAGAAGTACAACAGAATCTCAACTTCAAAGGATGTTAGGGATTTTCTTGGAGGGAAGATGGTTCTAGTGTCTCACACAAAAAGTGTGCATTTATTGGGAGTTGCCATGGAGACAGGTAAAATATATGGTAGCAGCAGGTGTATTAGACATTGTTACGGGACATGTCAACTGGGAGTCTCCACAGAGAACAAGGGCTTAACACATTTAAATAAAGTAAGGTTTTATAGTCTATGAGAGCAGAGGATGACAACAGAACCTTTGAAGCAGCTCAGAGTGGGAAAAAAGAGAAACAAACATAAAAACATGTTAAGAGACCATGTCACCATGAGAAGAAAGGCTTCTGAGGTGTGGCTGGATGTCATAAGGGGAAATATTTTCCAGTGGGGCAGGAACATGTATGAGTCAGAAGATAATGATGAATTCAAAGTTTCCTCTTAGAAGCAAGACACAGAAGGAGGAGTTTCATAGCAAGAGACATGAAAGGAACATAAACTCACACTCTGACAAATGATGAAGTATGGGAAGATTTGAAAATCCAAGCAAGACTGTGGGGGGGGNTCTGAGCAGGGGCCAGGAGCTGCCACTCTTCCCACGTGAAGGCCACGGCCACATCCTCCAGCGTCGGTGATCCCTGTAACAACACAGTTCTCTGTAATACGAGTGTTCCTCTTACTACTAAAATGGAGGGTGTGAAATAATGGAGGTCTCTGTCCCTGGTTGTTGGCTCAGAGATCCTAAAACCCTTGTAGTCTCCTAAGTGGTAAAAGCACTAGGAACATCTTTTGTTCTAATATTTGTTCTTCAACTTCAGCCCTAATCTGACACTGACAACTCAGTTAGCATCAGGCTCCACAGACTAAAGGGCTCAGTCTCACAAGACTGCCTTCAGTTCAGACACCAGTCCAAAGTCCCAGGTTCCCTGCATCTGTGTCCAGCTTGGCTACAACTCAGGGGCTCCCATAATTTCCCTGCTAAGTTTTGATAAATTGCTAGAACAACTGACAGAACTGAGGACAATGTTATGCTTACCTTTATAGTTTATTATCAAGGATATAGGGCTTCCCTTGTGTGGCTCAGCTGGTAAAGAATCCACCTGCAATGTGGAAGACCTGGGTTCCATCCCTGGGTTGGTAAGATCCCCTGGAAAAGGGAAAGGCTACCCACTCCAGTATTCTGGCCTGGAGAATTCCATGGACTGTATAGTTCATGGGGTTGCAAAGAGTCGGACGTGACTGAGGGACTTTCACTTTCATCAAGGATATAAATGAACACCCACGTGAAAAGGTACAGACAGCCAAGTGTCAAAGGGCCCTGAGTGCAAGGACCTCTTTCCCCATCGAGCTGGGATGAGCCCCGCTCCCAGCACGGGGATCGGCCCGCCTCCTTGGGAGCTTTCTGAACCCTGCTGGGATTTTTACGGTGGTTCCATTACACAGGAATGATTGATTAAACCCCTGCCTACTAGTGACAGAGTTCAATCTCCAGTTCCTTTCCTGTCTACTGAGATCAGAGGGTAGAGCCGAACATTCCAGTCAAGGCTTGGTCTTTCTGGAATCAGTTCCCATCTTAAAGTTGTCTAGGGACCTGTCCTGAATCACCTCATTAGCATACACTCATAGATGGTTCAGAGGGGCTTGTTATGAATTAAAAAAAGGACACTCGTCTATTTCTCAGGAAATTCCAGATGTTTTAGAAACTCTCCCAAGAACCAGAGACAAAGACCAAGTATGTACAAAGACCAAATTTGTGACAATAAGTCCTTTTTGTAATTAAAGGCAATACATGGGCTTCCCTCATGGCTCAACAGGTAAAGAATCCACCTGCAATGCAGGATACACAGGTTGTTGACTGCAAGTTCATGTGCCAGATACAGAGTGAGGCCAAACCAACATGTTGGAATTTGGAGCAGAGAGAGGTTTACTGCAGGGCCAAGGAAGGAGAATGGTGGCTTGTGCTAAAAACAAACAAACAAACAAACAAAAAACCTGAACTCCCTGATGGTTTTGAAGGGAGAGTTTTTCTTTCTTTCTTTTTTTTTAATATTTATTTAATTTGGGTGCATCAGGTCTTAGTTGAGGCACATGGGATCTTCATTGCAGCATGGGAGCTTAGTCACCACATTTAGTTGAAGCATGCAGCCTCTTAGTTCCCTGACCAGGGATTGAACCTGCATCTGCCACGTTGGAAGGGAGACTCTTAACCACTGGCCCACCAGCGACGTCCCTGTTTGTTTTTAATCAATTAAGTAATTTTGGGCTGCACTGGGCCCTTGTTGCTATGTGCTGGCTTTCTCTAGTTGCAGAGTGAGGGCAGCTCGTCACTGCAGTGTACTGGCTTCTCTCATTGCGGAGCACTGGCTCTAGGCGCAAGGGCTTCAGTAGTTGAAGCTTGCCAGCTCAGTAGTCACAGCATGCAGGTATGTGGAGATCCTCCCAGACCAAGGATTGAACCTGTGTTCAGGCAGGAGGATTCTTATCCACTAGACCACTAGGGAACTCTGGGGAAGAGTTTTTAAAAGCAAAATTCGGGATGGGGGTCGGGGCGGGGAGCTACAGGATATGTGACTTTCTTCTGTTTGGTTGATGGTGAGGTAATGGATAGTGTTCCAGGAATGTTGTGCTCAGCCAAAAGCTGAAAGGTATATTGTTATGTATATCCTTGGAGGAAGAACCAGGACCCCGCTTTATTGCTGCAATATTATTTCTTGACTGCTTTTCTGTTGTTACTGAGTTCCCTTACTTCCTTAATTAGAAAAACTATTTTAATCTGCCCTTTTGAACTCAGGGAAAGTCAAGGAGCCCAAAGCATTTTTCCTATGAACAGGAAGCCCCACAGGGTTCTGCTAGGTCTCAAAATACACAAAACCATTCTTTCTGGGACAACATCATTGAGGCCTTAGCACTTCTGCTTTCATCTAAGATTATTGGGGGACAATTCTGGGGCATCTTCATGCTGTTTTGTCATTTTTTACGTCCAGCCCCTTCTCTGTTCACCCCTCACCCTATCTCTGCATCTTAGTCCAAGCTTCTTCCAGCTGTAGCAGCAGTGGGCTGTGGTTGCAGGAGAAGGGGGGAGCAGCAGATTGGTCACATCCCGGGTCCTGGGAGCGAGTGAGCCATAGTAAAGCGAAAGTGAGTTTATTCAGAGAAATACACATGCCCTAGGCGAGTGAGAGCAGCCTGGGGGTAGAGGGTTGTTAGTTTTTATGGGCTGAATAATTTCATAAGCTAACAAGTGGGAGGATTATTTAAACTATTTGTGGAGAAAAGCAATTTTCAGGAATTGGGCCACCGCCCACTTTTTGGCCTTTTATGGTCAACCTTGAAACTGTCCTGGCACTGGTGGGTGTGTTATTTAGCATGTTAATGTACTACAATGAGTGTATAATGAGGCTCAAGGTCTATGGGAAGTCACATAAGCTAGTCGAAGCCTTGTAGGTTCTAACCAGTTTATGTCATATCTTCAGTGGCTGTGTCATTCTTGTAATGGCTGTGTTGTAGGAAGTGTAGGGAGAACAAACGGAATGTAGAAAGAGTAAACATAACGCCATGATAGGAGGCAGAAGCAGGAAGACCAGGCCCTCACCCTGGCAACTAAGGCGACTATCAGGTCACCAAGACACAACCAGTCAGAGACTATCAGGCCACCCAGATACAGCCAATCAGAATTTTTAGGCGAGAGAGAGCAGCCTGGGGGTAGAGGGTTATTAGTTTTTATGGGCTGAATAATTTCATAAGCTAACAAGTGGGAGGATTATTTAAACTATTTGTGGAGAAAAGCAATTTTCAGGAATTGGGCCACCGCCCACTTTTTGGTCTTTTATGGTCAACCTTGAAACTGTCCTGGCACTGGTGGGTGTGTTATTTAGCATGTTAATGTACTACAATGAGTGTATAATGAGGCTCAAGGTCTATGGGAAGTCACATAGGCTAGTCGAAGCCTTGTAGGTTCTAACCAGTTTATGTCATATCTTCAGCGGCTGTGTCATTCTTGTAATGGCTGTGTTGTAGGAAGGGGGACCCCTTCCAGGGCCCGAAACTGGGCTCTTGTCTAACACTCGGAAATGAATTGTCTGAGGAGACACATGTGCTGACAAAGCAAGAGATTTTATTGGAAAGGGCACGCGGGTGGAGAGCAGGAGGGTCAGGGAACCCAGGAGAACTGCCCTGCAGCATGGCTCGAAGTCTCGGTTTTATGGTGATGGAATTAGTTTCCGGGTGGTCTTTGGCCAATCATTCTAATTCAGAGTCTTTCCTGGTGGCGCATGCATCGCTCAGCCAAGATAGATGCTATCGAGAGGGATTCTGGGAAGTGGACGGACACGCAGTGTCTCCTCTCGACCTTTCCCAAACTCTTCCGGTTGGTGGTGGCTTATTAGTTCTGTATTCCTTATCAGGATCTCCTGTCATAAAACAACTCATGCAAATTGTTACTATGGTGCCTGGTCAGGGTGGGTGGTTTCAATCAGCATGCTTCCCCTAACAGCTGTGCCTTGCCCCCTTCCATCCTGTCACACTTTGGCAGAGACAAATCAAGTGTTCCTTACAAATTTTTAGGACACTGTAAGTCAGTCAGCTGTCACTTTACAGATATGTCCCCCAAAGCTATTAAAACTATCCTATCCAGCAGGAATTGCTATAATTTTTAAGATTAAGAAGTAAAATCTGAGAATTGGCTGTTCAAAAATGGGCCTGCTTTCAGTTAAAAATGTAGTTTAGTGTCTTTTCATGTTAATTGGCTATTCAGAATCATGTCTTCTGTGGATATTTACCTATTTTTACTCTGTTGTCATTTTCCTATTGCTCTGTTGACTGAAAGACACACAAAATAACAGTTGTGAGCTTTAAGTTTTATTCAGGTTCTTGCTAAGGACCACAGCCACCCAATTAGTGTAAGCATATGGGTTAGGGAGATTCCTCAAAGAAAGAGAACCAGGTGTGGCTTTCTTGACATGAGAGAACCCATTTTAGCCTAAGCTGTTTTGTCATCTAAGCCTGGCCATAATTCTTGCCCTTAAACAGTCTCCGTAATCAATGACCTTAAGGGAACAAAGGGGCTTCCCAGGTAACTCAATGGTAAAGAATCCACCTGCAATGCAGGAGCCACAGGAGATGTGGGTTCGATCCCTGAGTCAGGAAGATCACCTGGAGAAGGGAATGGCAGCCCACTCCAGTATTCTTGCCTGGAGAACTCGATGTAGCCTGGTGGTCTACGGACCATGGAGTCGAAAAGAACTGGACGCCACTAAGCAGCTAAACTTTCACTTTCACCAGGTGAAGGACCAAATTGATGATCTTGACCCTCTGACTTCAATCTACTAAAGCTGGACACACAGCTTTTGCCCAGTTTTGTATTGAATTCTCTGTTCAAGCCCCTTCATGAACGTGCATGTGCCCTTAGCTTAAAACTTCACTTCTGCGGTTCCCAGGAGCCACTGCTTTGGGAAAGATCCCTGGTGTTCTTACTTGCTGCAAGTAATAAACACTTCCTTCTTCCATTCTTTGGCTTGGTTGTGCCTATTGGCTTGACACCCACCAAGAGGTGAACCCAGTTTTGGGATAACATTAGCTCTGAGGAAATTGCTCTGAAAAGGTAAGGGGGAAGCCCATTTATATATGCTTTCTGAATAGGAAATACATGCAGTTAGGCATACATCTTGGTAAAAGATTTACTGCTAATCATAAAGGAAAAAAAAAATGTCTCAAGTTAATCTTTTTAAGGCTTATCTCTGTATGCGAAGATGCTAGAATCCAGTGTCACTAAAAAATTCTTCCTGAAATATACATCTAACGATCTGTAAGGCTGTCTATTCACTTGCATTCTAAGCACAGAATACCTGTTGTTTTCTGTTTAAATTCCTCTCAGTGCACTGTCAGTAACTGCAGTGGGTTACAACTTAAGTGTAAGTGTTAGTCGCTCAGTCGTGCTCGACTCTTTGCGACCCCATGGACTGCAGGCTACCAGGCTCCTCTGTCCATGAGATTTTCCAGGCAAGGATACTGGAGTGGGTTGCCATTTCCTTCTCCAGGGGATCTTCCCAACCCAGGGATGGAACTAGAGTCTCCTGCATTGCAGGCAGATGCTATACCCTCTGAGCCACCAGGGAAGCCCCCTGTCAAAACTGGACAGTGAGCAACCCTCTTTGTCTTAATATCCTAATTTTTCTGTACCCACAGATTCATAAGAGTTTTTTATATACTCTAAGTTTTCATCTTTTTCAGTTAAGTATTGAGACATAGTTTCCCAGTCTGTGTATTGTTCTTTAAGGTTTGTGTTTTTGTGTGTGTGTGTTTTATTTTAATGTAAAATGTGCTTGAAAAGGAAACCAGAGTCAAGCTCCTTGAAACTTAAGAGTTTAATTCCCATTTAAGAAAAAAAATTGAGATTTTGCATTACATTCTAGAAAGGGATTAATAAAAACATCTCTAAAGTTTGGTTTATGCTCTTTCAAAAGGAAGTGCATCTTGTGCTGTATGGGGGAAATAGGAAATATTTTATTTGTCCTTAGGAACAAACCACACACAATCAGGCAACACTAGGACTCAAGCTAATATTTAATTTTATCTTCTGACACCAGGGACTTTATCTCAAACTGTTCAAAGAGGGTATATAAAACCTATGAATAGTCATCATCTTCAAACCCTAAATATCTGGCTGGTTTAGAAGAATATTATAAAATTATATAAATATTATATATTTATAAAATTTATAAATATTATAAAGATGATGATTTCTACTGTATTTCATCCAATCTAAGATACCTTTGGTTGTATGATACACTAATATTTTATGTACCCAGTTCTCCATTTAAATATGTCAAGCAATCAACTGTGTGCTGCATTTTAACTTAAGCGTTATTAATACACAGGACAATTTTTCCATCTTTGGATCAATGAAAACAAAAGTTTTACTCAAGAAAGACTCAGAAATTTCCAAGCCCACTTACTAATAAAGCATACAGTGGGGCATGGTAGAGGTGGCAAGATATTGAGTCATAGGGTCTTTTTACTAAAATAATGAACCATGTAGTTCAGTTATAATTCATGTAGCATTATGATGATACAAAGACTCAGTGCAGATGTTCTGTGGTAAAATTTTATGACATTTAAGCACATGAACTAGGGAGTCACAATCATTAATGCTCACACACACAATTCCCAAATACAAAAATCATGTTATTATTAAAATAGGTACACAACACTTATTTTCACATGGTTCTGATATAATTTTTGCTTTGTTTTCTAACTACTGTATTTATTTACATATTTAATAATTTCTATAATGCTGTGTATTATGTCAAAATTACAGGAAATTAATTCCCTCATAAATGATACCATGAAAGCATGACTTGCCCCCTAAATGTCAATTCTCTGTAGCTGAATTTCATACTGACAACATCCCCACTATTAATACATATACAGACGTTCCTATTTGTTCCCTCTAGCCTACATTCAATTGACATTTATCGGGAAAGGTATTTCCTCCTGTNCTGAATTTCATACTGACAACATCCCCACTATTAATACATATACAGACGTTCCTATTTGTTCCCTCTAGCCTACATTCAATTGACATTTATCGGGAAAGGTATTTCCTCCTGTCTAGCATTCTATGCAATACCATTGTCTGATAAAAGTAACATAGTATGAATCTGAAAAGCACCCAAATCTGCTTCAGTTTTAAGGTTTCACTCCTACAGAGTGAAATTACTCTGGAGTGTAATGAGCTATTTCCTTTCAATGACAACTTTTGGATATTGACTTTCTTCATGACTTCTCTTGATGAGTTTTCTGATATAAAATGAGGCTAAATTTGTGGGAGAAAGTTTTCCAGCACTCACTGCATCTGTAAGGTTTCTCACCTGTGTGAGTTCTTTGATGTATAATAAGATGTGACTTCTGGGCAAAAGATTTCTGACACTCATGGCATTCGTGGGGTTTTTCTCTCGTATGTGTTTTCTGATGTAAAACAAGGCTAAACTTCATAGGGAAAGTTTTCCCACATTCACTGCATCCATAGGGTTTCTCTCTTGTATGGATTCTCTGATGAATGACGAAGCTAAACTTGTGAGAGAAAGTTTTCCCACATTCATGGCATTGATAAGGCTTTTCTCCAGAGTGAATTCTCTGGTGAATAAGGAGATACGACTTCTGGCTGAAGGCTTTGTGGCATTCACTGCACTCGTAGGGTTTCTCTCCTGTGTGAGACCTCTGATGAATAGTGAGATGTGACTTCTGGGTGAAAGCTTTCTGACACAGGTAGCATTCGTAGGGTTTCTCACCTGTATGAGTTCTTTGGTGCAGGATGAGACTAAATTTGATGGAGAATGTTTTTCCACATTCATTGCATCCATAGGGCTTCTCTCCTGTATGAGTTCTCCAGTGAGTGTTGAGGAGTGACTTTACACTAAAGCCTTTCCCACATTCACTGCAATTATAAGGTTTCTCTCCTGTGTGAGTTCTCTGATGTCTGATGAGCTCAGATCTCTGGATGAAGGTTTTCCCACATTAACTGCATCCATAAGGTTTTCCTCCTGTATGTGTTTTTTGATGTAAAATGAGGCTAAACTTAAGGGGAAATGTCTTTCCGCATTCATGGCAACCACAGGGTTTCTCTCCCGTGTGAGATCTCTGATGAATAATGAGCTGTGACTTATTGATGAAGCTTTTCTGACATTCATCACATCTGTAGGACTTCCCTCCTGTATGTGTTCTTCGATGTAATGTGACTTGTGACTTATCACTGAAGCCTTTCTGACATACGCGGCACTCAAACCATTTCTCTCCTGTGTGAGTTCTCTGGTGCTTATTAAGGCGTGACTTATCAGTGAAAGCTTTCCTGCATTTGTTGCACTCATAGGGCTTCTCTCTTGTGTGGGTTCTCTGGTGTGAAATGAGATGGGACTTCCAGCTGAAGGCTTTCTGACACCTACTGCACCCACAGGGTTTCTCTCCAGTGTATGTTCTCTGATGCTTAATGAGGTCTGACTTCTGGGGAAAGGCTTTCACACAGTCAGTGCAGCTGTAGTGTTTCTCTGCCATTTGAGTTTTCCAGTGTTTAATAAGCTGTGACTTATGGCTGAAAGCTTTCCTGTGTTCACTATATTCGTTGTATTTTTGTCTATTAAGAATTTTCTCATGCTTAGTATAAAGAAATAACTTGTCATATTGATTAAATTCAACTTCATTTCTTGCATAGCTTTTATTCTGAGTAATACACTCTAGATTAGGTTTCAAGTATTTCCCAAGTATGTCAGGGTATGAGATACTTGTGCTAAAGAAACTTCAAGGTTTAAGCTCAGAGAAGATACTTTTCCAAATGCATTATCTCTGTGGTGACTCTCTGTAGTTTCCAGGTTGCCATGGTTTACTTCATGCCAGTCTCTGTAATTATCAACTTGCCAGGTGTCTTCTAGAAACAGACCAATGAATCCACAATAACCATGTAACAGAAGGAAGAGGATCTCAGCAAAGGCCAAAGAGAAAAAAGGAAGGGAGACTGTGAGTATATATCTAAAGTCTGTGACATTTATAAGTAAAAGGAGATTTAAAGATGAAAAGAAAAAAAGGAATAAACTACAAATATCTTCCCAAGTGGTGATAGTGGTAAGAACTCGCCTGCCAGTGCAGGAGATGCAGGTTCCATCCCTGGATCCGGGAGATCCCCTGGAGAAGGGCATGGCAACCAACTTCAGTATTCTTGCCTGGAGAATCCCATGGTTCATAGGGTCACAAAGAGTTGGACACGACTGAAGCAACTTAGCATGCATGCACAAGAGGCATGAGAGATACACAGAATGAGAAGAATGGAGAATTTATGCATGCTTGAATATCTAAGAAAAGAGAGCTATTAATATAAACATGGATTAAGGAGATGGAGACAAGGAGAAGGCAAGTACACTGAGGATAACAGAGAGAAAGATTAATTAGGAAAGCAAGTTCCAAGATAGACTAGAGAGGGATCTGATCAGAATATCTAAAATAAAGAAATGTGTGTTGGTTTTTTTTTAAACCAGGCAAAAGAGACCTAATACAGGTTTCCCAGGTGGGTCAGTGGTGAAGAATCCTAATATGAGAGAGATTAAAATGTGAAATCACAGCACTTTCACTGCCAAGGGCCCGGGTTGGATCCCTGGTGGTCAGGGAACTAACATTCTGCAAGCCATGCTGCATGGCCAAAAAAAGAAAAAAGGAGTCAATGTTCATGTTACATGGGAACTCAGGTCAGCTGTTCTGAGTCATATTGAGAGCTTAAAAATTTCAAGAAGATTTTTCCAGATATTTTTGAGGTGCCTCCCTCTTTCTGGCCAACAGAGATTGATACTTCCATTTATCCCATGGGGCTGGTTTTTCACTCACCAGGATGAGTCTGACTCTGGATTTTTTCCTGTTATCCATGGTGCTTCTTGTTGCAACTGGTAGAATGCATGTGCTTTGGTAACATGATACCCTACTCAAGGGGAATTACAGAGGACCCACAGACCCAAATACAAGTCCTCTGTAGGATAGGGTTATATTTAAGGGGTTGAACAAATTCCAACTTGGCCAAGTAAAGGACTTTTGCTTTGGAAGTGGGAAAGAAAACTAAGAGGCCAGAAGGTACTAAAATCTATGATGTATGAAACTCAAGTCTAGAAAAGTAAGACAGTTGTAAGACTGCCGCTTTCATCCCTGAGAAAGAAAAGGCAATCCACTGCCTACAGTACCCAGAATGCTCTTCTTACCCACTGATTCTAAGTTGATATAATTTTCCAGCGTCACATCTTGATACAAGTTCTTCTGAAGGGGGTCCAGTAGCTGCCACTCCTCCCAGGTGAAAACCACAGCCACATCCTTGAATGACACCAAGCCCTGTAATAGAACATTCCTATTCATTCTAAAAGAATTATCTTTGAATTACTACTATGAAGATAAATAGGAATGTCTCATAAGTTTTCCTGTAAGTTTTCCCATGATGAGCTATTTGACTGCTTTCTGTGTAACAAGTTTTGCATTTTATTTTGTAGGAAAAGCCAATTTTTTAAAATTTAAAATAGCCTATCTTTTGTGCTTCTATTCAATCATTCTGAGACTCACATGTTCATCCATTCACAAAAGAGGAAGAGAACATCCTTAAATCTTTAATCTGGAAACCACCTACAGCCTATGTGTATGCACCTATGACAGACAATGTATTAAGCATTCCTTTGTAAGGAAGACTCTCCTTTACTCTGAAGGAACACACTAGCTTACAGAGAGAATATAACACATTGCTCTCTTGAGTCCTGTGAGGTCTTCTAGAGAATAACTGAGTTTGAGTCATGGACCCTCAACTCAAATTCATACAAATACACATTTACATATGTGAATACTGATACAGGAAGTCAGAAGAATATACATAAAAGTTTTTGGATTATTTATCTTGCAGGTGAAGAAAAAGGACTGATGGGGAACATATGCGTTTAACTCTACAAACTTTTGGACTATATGAAACTTAGAGAATATCTTAAGCTTCACTAATATTATCAATGTGACTTATGTTAGAGGTCTTGGGCCACATTGTAGCAACTTGACTTCTGAAGTTGTCCACGGGCTGGACACCAATGTCAGCCACTGATGTAGTCAGCCTTGCCTATGTGACCCACAGCAAATAAAAAGCCTTGACACTAATTAGCAATATTGGAGATGTGTTGTTGGGCTTCCCAGGTGGCGCTAGTGGTAAAGAACCAAAGAACCCGCCTGCCAATGAAGGAGAGTAAGAGATGCGGGTTCGATCCCCAGGTCAGGAAGATCCCCTGGAGGAGGGCACAGCCCACTCCAGTATTCTTGCCTGGAGAATCCCATGGACAGAGGATTCTGGCGGGCTACAGCCCATGGGGTCGCAAGGAGTCGGACACAACTGAAGCAACTGGGCACACACACGAGATGTGTTCTTACAAATCACTGTTGGGAAAAGGAAACAAAATCCATGTGACTTCCTTGAGACAACAGGAAGCTTCTGCCGGGTGTCTCCTAGACCTGGCCTTACGCACCTTTCTCTGTTGCTGATTTTAATCTGTATACTTTTGTTGTAATAAATCATAACCATGAGAATAAACGCATTGCTGAGTACTGTTGAGCTCTTATAGCAAATCACTGAACCTGAGGATGGTCTTTGAAACCCGAAAAGATACATGCCATCACCATAGGGCCCATAGGGCCCATATGGCCCACTGAATTGTTCATTATATCTAAAATTACACACACACACACACACACACACACACACATATATCTTCCTGCATTTTTTAAGCATAAAGTAGTACATTGTACATATCTGTAAGCTAGTATATTTGCATCACCATTTGTAATATTTAAGAAATTCTCACTCTTTATAGAACAAATGTATTATGTATCCAAAAAGCACTCCAAGATACTTAATTTTTTTTTCAAAATTTGTAATGTGTTGCTCCTACAGAAGCTCTCTGGAAACATCCATAACTCATGGGACACATGTAAACACTCGAAGATCCATCCTAGAATTCAGTGTCCCACAAAAACAGTGTGTGGACAGAATATTTATACCCACTGAATCCATGAGGATTATAAATGTGTACCACTAGATTTTGGGGTAACAAGGCAACAATAGATAATTGGAAAAACAGGGGATTCCACAGACAAGTTTGTACTCTTTTTTTTTGTGTGTGTACTGTGATGAATGGTGGGATGTTAGTTCACCAACCAGGGGTCAAACCCATGCCCCCTGCAGTGGAAGCACAGTCTTAGCCACTGGACTGCCAGGACTGGAGCACAGAACTCCCATGTGCTCGATTTTACTAAACATTTAGAGCCTCACATGGAGAAGAAAATGGCAACCCACTCCAGTATTCTTGCCTGGAGAATCCCGTGGAGCCTGGTGGGCTGCTGCCCATGGGGTCACACAAGGTCAGACACGACTGAAGTGACTTAGCATGCATGCATGCACTGGAGAAGGAAATGGCAACCCACTCCAGTATTCTGGCCTGGAGAATCCCAGGGACAGAGGAGCCTGGTGGGCTGCCGTCTATGGGGTCGCACAGAGTCGGACATGACTGAAGCGACTTAGCAGCAGCAGCAGAGCCTTACAGGCTATAATCTATGTTCTAACTTCAAACAATTTGTATAAACATATGATTTATAAATTCTTGTTGTAACCTTACTATGAAGTTGATCTTTTGTCTCAGTACTTTTTCTGAAATCAGACATTCATCTTTTCATGCTGTGTGTGGTATACAGTAGCCTTCATAAATACTGAATAAACATTTTCTCTTAATATATGTATTATTTAACCTCCTAAAATCCACTAGAAAGCCAAAAAGAAAATAAATCTGCAGAAAGCTACTCACTTGGGACTTGGGCATTTTCTGGAGCCCTAGGTTCAGCTAGCAACTCTAACATCTGCTCTGTTGTTGATTCTGCCCGCCTCCCTGCAGCTCCAATACAAAGTCTCTGGTGAAGGATGTCAGGTTGTTCCTGGCACCTTCAGTTCCTTCCCTCACTGGAACTATTTCATCCCAGGAAATTCCTGGGGGATTACAGAAATTCACTCCTGTGACAAACTATAACTGGGAGCATAATATTTTTCTGAGTTGTATGAGTTTTTATTTGAATGTGGTGGTAGGTTAACGTGATAGTTTAAGGAGAAAAAAAGTACCATATACTACCTGATGGTCTGTTTTACAAGAAAGAAACAGAACCAACAAAGCTATCTTCATTAAATTATGTAATTGTGCTAAAACTTCATTCAAAACTAAATCTACATTTAGAGAAGTGATTATAAAGAAATTTTTTTAAAACTAAATTTTTAAAAGGCTAAAATCCAGAGAAACAGTATATATATATGTGTATATGTGTGTGTGTGCTAAGTTGCTTCAGTCATGTCCAACTCTCTGTGACCCTACGGACTATAGTCTGTCATGCTCCTCTGTCCATGGAATTCTCTAGGCAAGAATACTGGAGTGGGTTGCCATGCCCTCCTCCAGGGGATCTTCCTGGCCCAGGGATCAAACCCACGTCTCTTATGTCTCCTGCATTGGAAGGTGAGTTCTTTATCAATAGAGCCATCTAGGAAGCGTGTGTGTGTGTAAGCATGTGTAAGTGTGTGTGTGTGTGTGTGTGTAAGTGGGTGTGTAAGCGTGTGTGTAAGCGTGTGTGTGTAAGTGTGTGTGTGTGAGTGGGTGTGTAAGCGTGTGTGTGTGTACTGGAATAGTGCTTGCTAACCTCTCTTGGGTACTTACGATGTGCTAGGTATTCTAAGTATTTGAATAGTTAGTACTGGTAGTTTTTTAACCAAATGGGAAAAATATCATAGGTTGAGAAATGCCCAAGTTCGCATAGTAAGTGGCAGAATATGGATAAAAACCTAGGTCTGCCCAAATCTGAAGTCCGTATTCTTTCCTCTGAGTTAAACTTATCTGCAGGTGTTCTGCCTGCTCACCTGGAAAACCTAAAAGGATCAGTTTAAACACATTAGTAATAAAAGGAGTTCAGTAAGGCTATGGAAGAGAAAAAAAGTTAATTACTTTTATACCTATAAAATAAAAATAACTGAAGTTTCAAAAGAAAGAGAAGCTATATGCAATGGCAGAAAACATAGATAAGATCTAGGCATAAACTTAACAAGCAGTGTCCAGACCTATGTGAATATTTCAAAGTCATGTCTATCCAAATTACTGCAAAGAATATAACTTCAGTCAACACTGCAAGGAGATTCACATTGTAGAATGCTATGCAGCTATCAATAAGACTTTATACCAAAAGTCAGTAATCTAGAACAATTTTACCATATAAGGTTAATTTTCTTTTTTTGAAGGTTTTGAAGTTTCTTTAGAAAGGCAAATTATAAGCTATTTATGCACTGTTATCACATTTTTGTCCTAAAGAAATTGGAAAAGGAAACATATCAAAATTTTAACAATGTGTATTTCTGGTTACCAAGATTTTGGATGTAGGAAAGTCCTCTCAAGCATCAGAAGGATGAAAAAAGGAAGGATCCGAGAGAAATATGCAGTGAGTTTGAAAATTAGAGGGACAGATACCACATCCTTCAGAATAAGCATTTTACCTTAGATTTTATGTAAATCTTGGTCATTACCAAGCACTGTGAAGACAGCAAGAGGAGAAGGTGATTTACAGGACAGAGGAAAGCAGGTTTTTATGAAGGCAGTAATATAGTTTATGAGAAGTCAATGGGCTCTAAAACACCAAAGTCCTCTAAAATGCAGAGACCTCTCAAGTTCCAGCTCCCATAAATTTCTTAGGTATCAATGCCTAACAACATCATCCCCAAAATATGGACCACATGGCTATTTCATAGTTCCTGACTGCTAATAGATTATCATTCGTTTATCCAGACTCAAACACCTATATACCCATGACTCTCACTGACCACTGGGGACGCAAAGACAGGAAACAGAGCTGCCCCAAGCACGAACCTCCTTCCAAGGCCACCCAGAAGGAAGCGCCAACCACTGAGCCCCCGCTACGCACATTCCACATATTCACCAAGTCAGGACACCAAAAACACTCAACTGCCAACTAAGGACGTCGGAATCACAGACCTGTCATTGTGGACACATCCATTAGTGAACCTCCCAAAAGATGTCTCAATCACTGACTTATGCCCAAAGACTCCCCAGTCCCTGACCTTCCTCCAGGAAAGCTCCAATCGCTGACATCCCTCTAAGGCTGTCCTAAGAACCGATCTTCCTCCAGAAGACGTTTTCAGGCTCTGACACACTCTCAAAGAAACCTCAATTCCTGACTTCCTTCAACACCTCCTGTCATTCACCCCCAATCAATAACATTCCCCCAAGGATGCCCCAAATCACTGACCTATCCCCTAAGTGCATCCCAATCAGTGACTACCCCCTACACCATGCCAAACACTGGTTTGCCTCGAAGACGGCACAGTCACTGACCTCTCCCATAAATGCTAACCCCAAGCCACCCCAAATCTGTCTCCACGCCACTCCAATACCCTGACCCTTCCCCAGGGCTGCCCCATTCCTGACTATTCTGATCCCTCATTAATGGAATGCATCCCCTGCCCAACAAGGGCTTGCTCCTCCTAAAGACTCCCCATAGGCCGCCCTTACCTCTAAGTTCATATCTCCACAAACCTCAAACTGATTCTGCTCCCAGAATGCGAAACTGAGACCCCTTAATAGATTCTTCACGCATCGCTGGGTGGGTAGAAATAGGCACTTTCTTCAGAGTCACAAGCCCGGCTGTTCCACCTCGCAGGTCAAGTTTATCCTCTGTAGCACCCGAGTCTGCAGGGTGACAACCGTCACCCCGGGCAGTCCTTCCACCAACGAAAATTCCATTTAGCTTTCGCGTCCTTTAGACAAAGACACTATAACAAGAGTATGGCAGCACCCTGATAGCTGCTGTATATGGGACCCGCCATCTTGTAAGGCCATCCGTACAATCAGTTTTCCTGCCCTACAAAATTTGTCTGCGTTACGCCAATCGCTAGCGTTGCAAAGGGGAGTGCGCATGCTCTAGTCCATCTCAGCGGGATACCGGTGTCCTTCTAGTAAGGCACACTAAACCCAAACAATTACGCCTTCGCTTTGCCGCTGGTACGTGCGAGCTACAAAACGTCACAGTGGGCGCAGCCATATTTAAAAAGGTGCGCATGTTCGTACCGCCAAAGGAGTCCTGCTTTAGGGACCGGGTGCAGGTGGAGCGATTTCAGGGAACGGTCCCGAGTTTGGAGAAGCCAAGGTGGTAGAGAAACGCAGCATGCCTCTGCGGACACACAGGAAACACATTTAGTTGAAGGAAAAGGTCTTCAAAGTTGGGGGTGGAAGTTTGATGACATCCCTAGGGTGAAAGGTGAGAGGGTTGCTGGGAGGGTTGAGCTAATAGGGAGGGGTTTTGTTCTGACTAAGATGGAAGGTAGTGGAATGGGAAGGAATAGAAGATCAGAAACTGTGGGTAAAGAATCCGTCTGCAATGCAGGAGACTGAGTTCGATCCCCGGTTCGACCCCTGGAAAAGAGAATGGCTACCCACTCCAGTATTCTTGCCCGGAGAATCCCATGGATAGAGGAGCAAGAGTGGGGCACCACTGAGTGACTAACGCTTACACTTTTTTTCAGACCAGAAATTGTTGGTAGCAATTTCTCTGCAGGCTTTATCTCAGTTGAAATGTTTTCACATAATTTATCTAGTGAAGAATTTTTTAGAATTGGAGTTGTTGAGTCAGAGAGAATGAAAGCTTTGAATTGGATTGATTATTCCAGTGTCCAAAACTGTTCTATTAGTTGAGTCCCCTTACTAATCTGTCCTCCCCTAAGAACTCCAGCTGAAAAGTAAGAGCTAATTTTTATTAAGTGTATGCACACTTTTTGACTGGGGGAGTATTTCAAACATAGTAATTTTCTTATTTAACTTAATATTATGAAAGCTGTCAATGGTGGACAGAAATATTATCCTCATTTTAGATATGGGGGAAAAAAAGGTCTAATTCTATCAGAGTGCCTGTTTTCTAAATATCTCATCCATCTTTTAGTTTTTGCCTGTTCTAAAGAGTGAAAAAAATATTATTTTAATTTTGCTTATTTATTTTACNTGCCTTTTAATATGCTGTCTAGGTTGGTCATAGCTTTTCTTCCAAGGAGTAAGCGTCTTTTAATTTCATGGCTGCAGTCACCATCTGCAGTGATTTTGAAGCCCCCCAATATAGAGTCTGTCACTGTTTCCATTGTTTCCCCATCTATATGCCATGAAGTGATGGTACTGGATGTCATGCTCCCCATCTCTAAGCAACCACTAATATACTTTCTGTCTCTAGATTTACCTACTCTGGACATAAATTTGATCATATAATATATAGTCTTTGTAACTGGCTTCCTTCACTTAGCATAAACTTTCAAGGTACATCCATGTTGTAGCATGTTTCTGTACTTATTCCTTTTTATACCTGAGTAACACAGTCTAGGAGGTTGCCAAGACTCAGACACTACTGAGCATATGCAAACACAATATTCTGTTATATGGATATAGCACATTTTTATTTTTTCAGTTGATTGATATTTGAGTTGTTTCCACTTTTGGCTGTTACAAATAATACTGCTGTAAACATTTATGTACAAGTTTTTGTCTGGACATCTGCCTTCATTTCTCTTGGATATAAACCTTGGAGTGAAATTGTTGGGTCATATGGTAAATTTGTTTACTGTTTGGGGAACTGTGAGACTGTTTCCAAAGTAGCTGTGCAAAAGGAATACTGACTAAAGGAAAACTGTTTTTTCTACCCTAGGATACTTCAGATACCAAATATTTGGTGGAGTCCGGCCTCCCAAGTCCATTTTTCAAATGAGGTTCTATTTGTTAATTTTCACATGATGATTTTTTTTTTAAAAAGTGAAAGTCGCATAGTTGTGTCTGACTCTTTGTGACCCCATGGACTGTAGCCTGCCTGGCTCCTCTCTCCATGGAATTTTCCAGGCAAGAATTCTGGAATGGGTTGCCATTTTCTTCTCCAGGGGATCTTCCCGACCCAGGGATGGAACCCCGGTCTCCTGCATTGCAGGCAGATTCTTTACCAACTGAGCCATAATGGAGCTTTAATTTCAGGGTATTGTCTCTCTTCTATTTGTAGGAGGCTTCAAAACACCTCTCATACAAACACAAACAGCTGTCTTCACACAAGCATTTCCTTTCCCTCATTCTTCCAATAGAGTTATATTATGGGTTGGCCAAAAAGTTCTTAATTATGATTGGATCAGATTTGGTGTTTACATTATGTTGTGTGTGCGCACATGCCCTCAGTCACTTCAGTCGTGTCCAGCTCTTTGTGATACTGTGGACTGTAGCCCACCAAGCTCCTCTGTCCTGGGATTCTCCAGGCAAGAATACTGGAACAGGTTGCCATGCCCTTCTACAGGGGATATACCCAATCCAGGGATCGAACTCGCGTCTCCTGTGTCTCTGGCATTGAGGCCGTAGTTTTAATTTTTTTAGAAAAAATCAACATATAAAATTGATTTTATTTTTTCTATACTTTGATTAAAACAGCATTCAGTAACACACTATAACACTAAGCATTTCAAATAAAATTGGTGATCAAGAAGGGCATAACCTCCTTCTGCATGACAACTGTGGATTTTAATTGGAAAAATCCTGTAATCTATAAGTAAGAATATCCAAAACATATTTAAACCACTTGAGCACTTGATTTTTCCATGTCCTTTGCATCTGGATTGAACAGACCACAGGAAATTTCAAAGACTGATTGCTGAATCTCCCTATCTTCAGAATCTCCTCCTTCCAAAACCCAGTACAGTGGCTCCATTATGGCTTGTAGATTCTGAACCATTTCCACCAGAGAACATTTAGTATAACCTTCTCAATTAATCAACCACAAACTATTATTGTTGGAAAGGACATGCTTTCTTCATCTTTTCATAGGGAACTCCCTTTCACACACAGATGAGCGAGGGAATGCTCAAGGACAAATTTCAGTCAACACTTGGAGGAACCCCATAGTTCAGACGTGAACTTAGCTGAAAACATCCAAACGTATTATGGAAGCAACATACTCATAACCGAGAGCCCGGAGGGGCGCAGGGCACCACCGCGTCCATCCCGTCCACGGGCGGACGTGGACGCGGCTCGAGAGGCAGGAATCCCGGCCGAGACGCGGAGGGTACGCGGTGGCAGGGTGGACGCGGGGCTCACCTCTCCTCCGCGGCGCGGGAGCGTGAGCCGCGGAAGCTCCCTTGTGGCTGGAGCGAGCCCCCGGCGGGCGGCGCGCGGGGGCCGCTACCCCGTGGTTTTAATTTCAACTCACTGAGCCACCTGGGAACTACAAGTAGTATTTATATATGACTATATAATACTATATACTACTATACACTGTATACTACTGCAGTTCAACCACTAGTATACTATGATTACTTTTCCTTTCTTTTACGACTTTTTATTCTGCTCGGAGTTATTTATTCCTTACAAAATTTCTGGACTCCCGTTTTCAGAAAGCCCGGCCCTTGATACTGGCTCAAGCTTAGTCGGGTATCTGGGGCAAAAAGCGTCCCCGGGCGTTGGATTTCCTCTTCCCGTTGGCTCGCGACTACTCTCCCCCTTTCTGGGTGGTAATCAGTGTAGTTTGCGGAGGAGCGTTTAAGGTGCAAATCACTGCTGGCTCAGTGGGCGAAGAATCCTCCTGTAGTCCAGGAGACGCGAGTCCCATCCCTGGGTTGGGAAGATTCTCCTGGAGAACGAAGTGGCAACCCATTCCAGTACTCTTGCCTGAAAAAAAAACAAATCCCATGGACACAGGAGCCTGTCGGGCTACAGTCGGACTCGAATGAGCAAAGAGGAGCCGAGAAGTGTGGCTGGTTTGGCTTTTGTCACTTCCGTGCCTGTGCCTGGCTTTCTGTACGGCAATTCCTAAAAGATGGCAGCCTCGGCTTCCGTGGCGAGCAGGGCGCCGACATTAGCTCCCTGGAAAAGCCGCGGGGGGGGGGTGGGAAATGCCGGAGGCCCTAGCCGGCCGCCGTAGTCCAGCTAGGGCGCAGTAGTAAAAAGAATTCTCGGAAGTGAGGGTTCGGGGAGGTCGCGGTGGGATCTGGAGAAAATCAGGATAGCGTGTGGATCTCTGCGTGGAATAGGATGAGAGGACTGAGGTGTCGCTCGCGTCCGGGTGGGGTGGAGCCATGCTGTCAGTAGAGGGAGAGGAAGCCAGCGGGAGTTGGTGACGGCTCTTTATGGTTGGGGTGACGTTGGAGTCAGTTCTGAAGGATTCTGGTGTTTAGTCCAGTCGAGATCAAGGATTGAAAATCCGTAATGAGGGTTTTGTGTGTCTCTGCCGTGCTTGGTGATTGAGGACTGCGTTAGGGAATGATATTTGTCGATTAAAGTGGTGTCTGGTTTGGATTCGGGATTTAGTAGGCGGTTTAGTGACAGGATCGGGGGACTCCTGGTCAGCGAACCTGGGTGTCTACTGCAGGTTTGGGGGTGAATCCAATGTTTGCGGGCGGGTGGGGGGGCGGTGGTGTCCAGGTGTGTCAGTCTTTGAGAGGTTTGTGAAAGCTGAAGCTGGTGGGTGGGTGGGTGTTTCAAACGTTACTCTCTCCTTCAGTTTCTCAAGTCCAGGGCTTCGTTTGTAAAATCGCCTTTGACTTCTTGTATCTTTTCCTCTCGGACCGGTAGAAATGAGAGCGTTGTTGGAGACCGAGGACTAAGCACATCTAAAGTGGTAAGGTTTCTACTAAAAATGAGGATTTTGCCTTTCCTGCTTGTTTACTGTGTGTGTGCATACACACACTTGTTAATATTTCCTTTCAGAGTTGTTCTAACAAGAGTACAATAGCATCTCTGTTACCCCATTTCTGTTCTCCAATGGTCATACTTTTTTAAAGTTTTCATAAGTTGACTTTTTAGTCTTCATTTTTCTATGCTTGGTTTTCACAGTTCCAGTAAACTGTGGAAATATTGGTATAATTAGCCTCATTATTTAATTTCCTATCATAAATATTCATAATGAATGTATCATACAATTTTTTTTTCTGTGAAAATTCTTTTTTAAAAATTCCTAACAACATACCAAGAGACAAACCTATGCCATTAATGACTGGCGTCACTCAATATGTATATTCATTTAGATAGAATTTAAATGCTTAAATAGTCAGCACTTTTGAGAACAGGTTATGATTCTGCATTTACACAAAGAGTGTGGTTCCCTGTCCCTCATCTCCATCTTGATTTTTAACTTTTTTGCCATTGTGAATGGTGTCTTTTTACTTTGGATCTTTTTACTGACTTTTAACTTTCTATTGCATAGAAGAGCAATTATATTGAAAAGATTTGTTTTTTGCTCACCCTACCTCATTGTTACAGGCTTCCCCATCCCCCATGATTTTATTATGAAAATTTTCAAATGTATATCAAGGATTACAGAATTATACATTTGAATTCCTGTGTGCCTGTCACCTAGATTTTATCAGCATGATTTTTTTGTGTTTCCTTTATTGTATGTGTATCCATATATCACTCTTCTATTCATCATCAACCCACCTTTTTACTTTTTGGGGGGTATATTTCACTGTGAGTTGCAAAGACTTATGCATTTCCCTCTATATATTTTAGTAAGCAAATAATTAGAGCTCTACTCATAGTTTTTTCCTAATAACTTTTTTATTCAAACATCATACAGTTTATCTGCTTTAAGTGTACAATTTAGTGATTTTTATTGTAATCACATTTCTTGAAGTTGTTTTTATACTTTTACTAAATGGGTTATTGTTGTTTTGTTGCCAAGTCATGTTTGACTCTTTTGCTGTTCCATGGACTGTATCCCACCAGGCTCCTCTGTCCATGGGATTCTCCAGGCAGGAATACTGGAGTGGGTTGCTATTTCTTTCTGCAGGGGATCTTCCCAACCCAGGGGTTGAACCCTTGTCTTCTGTGTCTCCTGCTTGGCAGATGAATTCTTTACTGCTGAGCCACCTGAGAAGCCCATTAAATGGATATATCCACAAATAATAATCTTGATCTACACACTTCAGTTTTTCCCCCTTGGTTTTCCTTTGTTTGTTTCTTTCACACTATGGAGTAGTTCAGCAGGTCCACGAGCACACATGGTTTCCGGGGCCAAGCTGTCCAGGTCGTCATGTTTATGTGTTCTCTTTCTGGAAACTGGCCTGTGCTAACTCCCCTGGTGCGGGAGCTTTGTGTTGTGCTGTTCTCCTTTCCCATCTCCTGTTTCACAGTCACCCCACTTCCACCTCACAGAAGGAAGAAATACTCTCCACACATGTACAGTCTTCTGTTTTATTGCTCCAGCATGTAATAGCCTCCGGGTCCCCAAATAAAGGGACAAGTGACCTTGAAATTAGGTCAGTGACAATGTCAATGGCAAACATCTGGGCCCTGAGGAAATGGACACTCAAAAGTGAATTTACTTTTCACCCCACAGGTCCTGGCTCCCTGATTCATCAAGATACAAGATACATCAAGTGACTTGAGGGGGTTTCCCTTCCTGGACGTCATCACTTGCAGGGATGTCACTGCCTTGGGACTAAGATTTCTAACCCAAAATTGAGGACAGTCCAAGAAGAGACTCAGGACACATCCTAGTCTTTGGCTAGTTCTCAATATCAGAAGAAAATGATTAAGGACCAGGTAACTTTTTGGCTTGTCTTATTCCTTCCATCATTCTGTAATTAGTTTTGGGGGGGATTGTAAAACACAATTGAATTCAATAGAATAGAACAAATTGGAAAAGTAGGAATTGTGCAGAAATAAATTTAGATTTAAATTCAGCATCAAGGGAAAGTAGCATCAGGAATATATTGTTAGCGGGATCTACACTGAAGGACTAATGTTGGAACAACGTGTGTGATTGGAGTATCCTATGGGTTACATTTGTTGTCAACTTATGTTTAACATTTCTTTTTTTTCTTTATAATTTTATTTATTTCTGGCTGCGCTGGGTCTTCATTGTGGTGCAGGCTTTTCTGTAGTTGCGGCGAACAAGGGCTGCTGTCTTAATTGCGGCCCGAGAATTTCTCATTGCAGCGGCTTCTGTTGTCGCAGAGCACAGACTCTCAAGTACAGGTTCAATGGTCGTGCACACAGGCTTCGTTGCTCCGAGGCATGGGGGATCTTCCCAGACCAGGGATCAAACCCACGTCCCCCGCATTGGCAGGCGGATTCTTTACCGCTGAGCCAGCAGGGACGCCCAGGAGTTCACAAGCCACAAGTAAAGGATCCTGCAGCATTGAAGACCCGGTGTAGCCTAATAAATAATACTAAAAAAAAACCCTCCAGTGATTACGAAGCACATCTAGCAAAAAAATAGGAATCCTCTTCACAGCCTTCTTTCCTAATTCCCTGGTATCACTTAACAAACAGGAATATGTACTTCCTGTCACTGAGTTTGTCTACCTCTGTGTGTGTGCAGACGTTTGTGGGTGGATCTCGCTCAGCCCTTAGGCCTTTGGATAGTGTCCTTCTATGACTGTATTTGTAGTTTCATAATTTGAGTTGGGGAATGTGAGATCTCTCTCAATCCTCTCTATTTATTGTTCTGGTTTATATATATAGTCCATCATTATATATTTGTGCTGCATTTTGAGTAATTTCTTCAAATCTTACCATTCATTTTATTGTCTCTTCAATGTATCTGATGTGCTGTGAATCTGAGTGGTAATGTAAATATAATGTACATAGGTACGTAAGTATTTGTGTGTTTTTTGAAGGATGCTGTTTATTTTCTTAGTTTGCATAATGTGCTTTCGTAGTCTCTCACTGTTTGGACATGTTTTAGAAAGATGTCTTTATTCCTTCTAACATACATATTTAGCATGTAGTATCTTGTAATTACAGTGTGTGGCGTTTCTTCACAGTTGATTCTGGTAATGGTTACAAAGATTCATGGTGAATGTAGGAATGTGTTCTGTTCATCCTGGTGTCACTAGAATATACTTAGTGCCTGGCACATATGTACTTGCTTCAAAAAAAAAGTTACACATGTAGCAAATGGTTCAACTCTATATTGCAAATGTTTCTTGTTTAGCAAACGGATTTAATGATGACTTTTTATAGAAACTTCTGATTTGTTGAATGATGGTTGACTGTACAGTTACAGAATATTTGGGGAGACAGGTCTGAACATGGTTAGATTTTGCTTCTATGAAAATGTAGTTTTAAAAAAAAAAATCAAAACACCTCCATATATAGATGTAGCCTAAATGGTAAAAAGAAAGAGGGCTGAACAACTTCTTCACATGCCTTCCGTTACGGTAGCCAGAGAAACACTCTAGCAGGACTGTGTTGTTACAGGGATCGCTGACGCTGGAGGATGTGGCCGTGGACTTCACGTGGGAAGAGTGGCAGCTCCTGGCCCCTGCTCAGAAGGCCCTGTACCGGGACGTGATGCTGGAGAACTACGGCAACCTGGTGTCCGTGGGTGAGGACGGCTCCTCCGGGTCCCTCAGACAGTCCCCAGTCAGTGGCCTTTCTTATTTCAGCTTCTGAAAGCTCTGCTGTGTCCATGGTGCCCTGAAGTGGTGTCTGAGTCTCAGTTTCCTCTCTGGCCCCAGCCTGGAGAGTATGATGTGCCCTTCCCTGAGAGATGAGCCTTCTCTTGGCTGAGCTGCTCACTGTGTACTTCCTAAAATAGAACTCCACACTGGCAGACCACAACCCATGTCAAGAGCCTGTCTGTCTCTCATTTCCCGTGAACAGGGTATCAAGCCAGCAAGCCGGCTGCTCTCTCCAGATTGGAGCGAGGAGAACTATGGCCTGTGGAAGACGAAGTCCACAGTCGACTCTGTCCAGGTGAGTGAGAGCCCCAGCACTGGGTTGGCCGCAGGACTTACATTCTCATCATTCAGAGATGTCACAGCCATGAGCGTCTGACAACATGGAAGCCAGGATTCCATGATGCTCTCATAGAGAGCTCTTTTTCTTTTAGGTGTGTCGAAGAGTGTCTCTCTTCTTAGATTTCATCCCTGTTTATTTCATCTTGGTCTTGATTTTTTTTTCTCTTAAGTTTCATTTTAGAATTCTCAAATCTTCCTGTCCTGCCCCAGCACTATATCCCTGACTGTTCCTTCTGATTTCCTTGCTATGAAATTACACCTTCCATGCCTCTCTCTGATGAGAGATGTTTAATTCTTTTTAAAAAATTTTGGCCACACAGTTTTTTAGACAGAACTTGTTTAAGGGAAATTTTTTAGTTCCCTGATCAGGGATCGAACCTGGGGCCCCTGCACTGGAAGCATGGAGTCTTAACCACTGGACCACCAAGGAAGTCCCAAGATTTTTAGCACTGTCTTCTGACAACTGTGCCTTCTTGCCCCTTTGGATAATATTTATTTCCAGTCCTAACATTTACATCATCTTTGATTGGCAGATAAGGTTTCAACATATAAATTGTGGAGGGGGGAAAGATAAACCCTTAAGGCAGTCTCTGGAACCTTCCATTTTTTCTTTATAGATCTGTGTTGGGAACGCCTCGGTCTTGCTGTGTTTCTCCTCTGTTCTCACACCACTGCTGCACTCACATCACTTCTGACACCAGATGTGTGTTGGGTTTTTCCCCATAATAAGCAGTTCTCTGTGACACCAGCTGTATGTTTGTGTGCTCAGTCGTGTCCGACTCTGCGACCCCATGTACTGTAGCCCAGCAGGCTCCTCTGTCCATAGGATTTCCCAGGCTAGAATACTGGAGTGGGTTACCATTTCCCACTCCAAGGGATCTTCCCGACCCAGCCATCTACCCTGCGTCTCTTGCATCTCCTGCATTTGTAAGTGGATTCTTTACCACTAGCGCCTCCGGGAAGCCTGACACCAGCAGAATGTCCTACAATTTAACTCAGTTCTGACACTGTCTGCCTGGAGAAAGCATTGGATCCCACAGATTAAGGGCTCCATCACACCAGACACCCCCCTTCAACTCCACTTCCAAACACAAGTCAAGGTTGTGCCCTGTGCTTCTGACTCACTTGCTCTAGACCGGGTCTTCCCAAGACTCCCTCCCTGCTCAGGTTCAATTCATTTGTTAGAGCAGCTCACAAAACTCAGAGAACCATTGCACTTACTAGATCACCAGTTTGGTATGAAAGGATCTAAGTCAGGAACAGCCAGATGAAGGAGGTGCCCAGGGCAGGGTGTGGGGAAGGGGCAGGGACTTCCACGTGTCTGGGCATAATGCTCTCCCATTATCACCATGTGTTCAGCCACCCAGAAGCCCTCTAAATCCTGTAATTCTGTTATTTTTATGGAGACATCATCCCCCTAGGCATGATTGATCACTGACTTTGTCTCCAGCCCTTCTCGTCTCTCTGGAGATTGGAGGTGGGGGTGAGATTGAAAATTCCAAGCATCTGATCAAGGTTTGGTCTTTCTGGTGACCAGCCCTACCCAGCATCCCCTACCCCAAAATATAGGGGAAATAGAGCTTACAGGACATAGAATGAGAAAGCAATGGCCTGATATATAGAAGGCATAACTGGGATTTGAGTAAAGATGATGGAGAGCAAAGAATGAAGGTGTGAAGTTGGAAACATGCTAGGTCTTGAGGGAACTGTCAAAAGATTAGCCTGAAGCTCCTTGAAGGCCGGTTTTAGGAGGTGGTTGTACAGGAACAAGTAGAATGTGTACATGGATAAGTAAAGTAAATGTTGGTCATGTAACTTTTATTTCCAGACTAACTGTTCTGGTCTTTGTTAGTCGAGTTGACCCTGAATAACACAGGTTTGAATGGGTCCACTTATATGTGGAATTTTTTTCCATAAATACATAATGGAGTGCTACACTATCTGAAGTTGCTTAAATCCTTGACTACAGAGGGATGTCTACAAAGTTGATCTTTATAAAGTTAAACTGGATCTTGACTTTGAGGAGGGTCTGAACCCCTAACCCCATGTCGTTCAAGGGTCAGCTGTAATTGAGGTATAGTGGTGGCATTGTGAGCTTGGTTTATATTATCCTTGGATACATGGTCTTACTTTTTAATTGGGTGGCAGTAGTGTGAGCTGTAGTTAAGTACATCCAGTAGTTCTGAGACAAATGGCAGGTGAACTGTCAAGAGTCCTGAGGTCAGTAGTGTGATCCTTTAGGATTCCTTCTGATGGAAACCAGGGTGAATATGTAGGCTGTTGAAAGAAAATGCTGTTAGTAGCAAGACTTGGGCTTAGGGATTGTTACAATGAAATGTAACAATTTGGATGTTAAAATGTAATTTTGGAATTTGAAATTGTAAATGAAATTATAAATTTGAAATGTAAATTTGGATATTACATGTGTATGTGTACAAAGGGTAAAAGAAAAAGGTGCCAGTTCCCTAGTATGAAATTATGATATAAGATACATATATATCTTGGTCTTTGACCCTGGTTTAGAGTTCCTAAAACCCTTGTAGTTTCCTAAGTACAGGACTGCTTATTTCCTTTATCAGTATTGGTATAGTCAATGTTGACTGCTCCTCACTGGGCTTTTTAAAACTCAAAGTCGTGAGACTTTCCTGTTGGTCCAGTGGCTGGGTCTCTGAGCTCTCAATGCAGGAGGCCTGGGTCTGATCCCTGGTCGGGGAACTAGATCCCACATGCTGCAACTTAATAAAAAAAAAATCCTGTATGCTGCAACTAAGACACCGCGCAGCCAAATAAATAAATATATGTATATTTTTTAAAAAACCAAAAGTCTTAATGTTACAAAAACTATAAACTTCGACCCATGCCTTCATCTACTTTCAGTCTACACTTTTTTCCAAATATCTCATCCTACCCCCTATCCTTATATAATATTAATATACAAATGATTCCCACAGTGTTGTCTTCAATGAGGACCTTTATCAGGATCTGTATGTTCAGTTGAATTCTTCATGTCTGCTTTGAATATCCAGAACCTACCTGAAGGTTGAAATGCTTTGAAACGCACACTTGATTTAGCAACATTGTGAACCTCAATGATAGTCCCCATCTCATTAAAAACCACTGCATTTATCCAGTGGTCTAGGTCAGGTAATCAGGAGTAACACTTGATTCTTTACATTTATCATAACAACCATGAATGAACCTTGTTTTTTCTCTCTCTAGATTTTTTTCCTCTCTCTCTAGATTATATCCTAATTCTTTCCACCTGGTTCTCTATTGCTTCCTCAAACCACTTTTCACAATTTGCTCCTGCCTTCTTAATTGTTGCTTTAATATTCAGTTTTACCCTAACTGGAATTTATGCTCAGTAACAATAAGGACTTTGTTTCTCTTTCCTCATCACTGGCATAATGCTTGATACATAACCATAATTTTAAAAAGTTTTATGATGTATGAATGTGCCACATCATTTGGAAACAAATAGCCCTCTATCTTTGTTCATAATAAAAGTGAAGGTGTTAGTCACTCAGTTATGTCTGACTCTTTGTGACCCCATGGACTGCAGCCCTCCAGGCTCCTCCATCCATGGAATTCTCCAGGCACGAATCCTGGAGTGGGTTGCCACTCCTTTGTCTAGGAGATCTTCCTGACCCAGGGATTGAACCGGGGTCTCTCATGTTTCAGGCAGACTCTTTACTGTCTGAGCCTCATAAGAACTTGATTTTATTTTACTATCTCAGCATACTTTGTAAGTTCACAATTACAAAGCAGCCAAATCTCTATTTGCTCATTTTGAATGCTCTAACTTCATTTATGCCCTATTTTACCCTTTATTTATATTACTGTGTTGTACCCTTGTCCAGGTAATAACAAACATATTTATTTTAGAGTTCCTAAAACCCTTGTAGTTTCCTAAGTACAGGACTGCTTATTTCCTTTATCAGTATTGGTATAGTCAATGTTGACTGCTCCTCACTGGGCTTTTTAAAACTCAAAGTCGTGAGACTTTCCTGTTGGTCCAGTGGCTGGGTCTCTGAGCTCTCAATGCAGGAGGCCTGGGTCTGATCCCTGGTCGGGGAACTAGATCCCACATGCTGCAACTTAATAAAAAAAAAAATCCTGTATGCTGCAACTAAGACACCGCGCAGCCAAATAAATAAATATATGTATATTTTTTTAAAAACCCAAAGTCTTAATGTTACAAAAACTATAAACTTCGACCCATGCCTTCATCTACTTTCAGTCTACACTTTTTTCCAAATATCTCATCCTACCCCCTATCCTTATATAATATTAATATACAAATGATTCCCACAGTGTTGTCTTCAATGAGGACCTTTATCAGGATCTGTATGTTCAGTTGAATTCTTCATGTCTGCTTTGAATATCCAGAACCTACCTGAAGGTTGAAATGCTTTGAAACGCACACTTGATTTAGCAACATTGTGAACCTCAATGATAGTCCCCATCTCATTAAAAACCACTGCATTTATCCAGTGGTCTAGGTCAGGTAATCAGGAGTAACACTTGATTCTTTACATTTATCATAACAACCATGAATGAACCTTGTTTTTTCTCTCTCTAGATTTTTTTCCTCTCTCTCTAGATTATATCCTAATTCTTTCCACCTGGTTCTCTATTGCTTCCTCAAACCACTTTTCACAATTTGCTCCTGCCTTCTTAATTGTTGCTTTAATATTCAGTTTTACCCTAACTGGAATTTATGCTCAGTAACAATAAGGACTTTGTTTCTCTTTCCTCATCACTGGCATAATGCTTGATACATAACCATAATTTTAAAAAGTTTTATGATGTATGAATGTGCCACATCATTTGGAAACAAATAGCCCTCTATCTTTGTTCATAATAAAAGTGAAGGTGTTAGTCACTCAGTTATGTCTGACTCTTTGTGACCCCATGGACTGCAGCCCTCCAGGCTCCTCCATCCATGGAATTCTCCAGGCACGAATCCTGGAGTGGGTTGCCACTCCTTTGTCTAGGAGATCTTCCTGACCCAGGGATTGAACCGGGGTCTCTCATGTTTCAGGCAGACTCTTTACTGTCTGAGCCTCATAAGAACTTGATTTTATTTTACTATCTCAGCATACTTTGTAAGTTCACAATTACAAAGCAGCCAAATCTCTATTTGCTCATTTTGAATGCTCTAACTTCATTTATGCCCTATTTTACCCTTTATTTATATTACTGTGTTGTACCCTTGTCCAGGTAATAACAAACATATTTACTTGAAGTTTCTTTTTTTTTAAGTTAAGGTATAGTTGACTTACAGTTTTTTGTTAATTTCTGCTATAAAGTGTTTCTTTTTCATATTCTTTTCCGTTATATTTTCTCACAGTATATTGAATATACTTCCCTCTGTTATATAGGAGGACATTGTTGTTTATCCATCCTGTTTATAATAGTTTTCATTTGCTCATCCCAAACTCCCAGTCCATCCCTCCCCATCCCCTGCTTCCCTTTTGGCAACTACAAGTCTGTTCTCTATGTCTGTAAGTCTTTCTGTTTCACAGACAAATTCATTTGTGTCATATTTTAGATTCCACGTATAAGTGATATATCTTTCTCTTTCTGACTTACTTCACTTAGTTTGGTAATTTCTAGGTCCATCCATGTTGCTACAAATAGCATTATTTCATTCTTTTTTTATGTCTCGGTAGTATTCCTTTATGTACTACATCTTCTTTATCCATTCATATGCTGATGGACATTTAGGTTATTCCATGTTTTGGCTATTGTGAATTCTGCTGCTGTGAACATAGAGGTGCATGTATCTTTTCAAATTATAGTTTTTTCAGATATATGCCCAAGAGAGGGATTGCTAGATTGTATGGCAGCTCTATTTTTAGTTTTTTAAAACGTCCATACTGTTTTCCAGAGTGGCTACACCAATTTAATTTACATTCCCACCAACAATGTAGGAGGGTTCTCTTTTTCTACTTGGAGTTTCTTTAAACTGAGGTCATAGTGTTGTCTGTAAAGAGCCCACTTACCCAAAGGCATTTGTTAAACAGTTTCACTCTGTACCAAGTTCATGGGAAGGTTCATTCTTCTCTTCTTTCCTAGAAATGAGGAAAGATGACTGTCTTCTACAGGAGGACTTGCAAAATCAAAGTTGTCCAAAAAGAATGGAACGATGTCATGAACATAATGCACTTGGAAATGTTGTTTATCAGAGCAAAAGTCATTGTCCTTTAAGGCAACATCATGATATACTTTACTTACATGGGAAAACACTGAAATCAAACTTAAGTTCAATCAGCCAGAACAGAAACTATGAAGTAAAGAACCCCATTAAGGCTAATGTAGATGGGAAATTCTTCCTCCATGCAAAGCATGAGGAGTTTCACAATGAAAGTAAGCTTCCTGAATGTGGAATTCCTATGAACACAAATTCTCAGATCATTACGTGTCTAGGAACTCAACAGATAAATAAACATCATGTTTGCACTGAATGTGGGAAAGCCTTCATCAAGAAGTCCCGCCTCATCGATCATCAGAGAGTTCACACAGGAGAAAAACCCCACGGATGCAGTGTATGTGGGAAAGCTTTCTCTAGAAAGTCTAGACTCACTGAACACCAGAAAACCCACATAGGAGAGAAACGGCATGCATGCATTGAGTGCAACAAAGTCTTCCCTAAGAAGTCACGGCTGCTTATCCATCAAAAAACTCATACAGGTGAGAAGCCCTACGTATGCGACGATTGTGGAAAAGGCTTTGTCAAGAAGTCTCGGCTCATTAATCATCAGAGAGTTCATACAGGAGAGAAACCTCATGGGTGCAGCCTGTGTGACAAAGCATTCTCCAGGAAGTCCAGGCTCATGGAACACCAGAGAACTCACACGGGAGAAAAACCTTATGAATGCACGGAATGTGACAAAGCCTTCCGCTGGAAATCGCAGCTCAACGCACACCAGAAAACTCACACAGGGGAGAAATCATATATATGTAGTGATTGTGGAAAGGGCTTCATTCAGAAGGGCAATCTCATTGTACATCAGCGAACTCACACTGGAGAGAAACCCTATGTATGCACTGAATGTGGGAAAGGCTTCATCCAGAAGGGCAATCTCCTGATACATCAGCGAACTCACACTGGAGAGAAACCCTATGTATGCACTGAATGTGGGAAAGGCTTCAGCCAGAAAACTTGCCTCGTCTCACATCAGAGATTTCACACTGGAAAGACTCCCTTTGTATGTACCGAATGTGGAAAATCCTGTTCACACAAGTCGGGTCTCATTAACCACCAGAGAATTCACACAGGAGAGAAACCCTACACGTGTAGTGACTGTGGGAAAGCATTCAGGGATAAGTCATGTCTCAACAGACACCGGAGAATTCACACAGGAGAGAGACCCTATGGCTGCAATGACTGCGGGAAAGCTTTCTCCCACTTGTCATGCCTTGTGTATCACAAGGGGATGCTACATGCAAGAGAGAAACGTGGTGACTCAGTCAAGTTGGGAAATCCTTTCTCAAAGCATCCCAGCCCATCACATCCAAGTGATATGGTACAGGGAAAAAACCCTGTTAGTGCGGTGACTGTGCAGATGCCTTCTGTGGCAACTCAGACTCCATCCCACAGTGATAAGTCCCTAGAAGATGAAAACATAACCCTTGTGGGACAGCCAGGGGGAAGATATGCACCCTCAGCAGATAATAGAATTTGCACAGAAGAGAAACCTAGTGAATGCAGTGAATGTGGTAGCACCCTCAGTGGTCAATTACATCATATTTTTGTCACAAAAGACACAGGAATAAACTAATTCAATCAAGCTGGAAAACCCTTGAGTAAAACCTTCTAGCTGTTTGTATGGCTGGCGAGTGTATACTGAGACATGTAGTATAAACACAGAGACTGGGAAAGCCTCTCATGGAAAGATAGACCCTAACAGGGCTTTCATAGGTCACATATGTCAGTGAGGTCATAGTTAGCAGAAATGTAATGACTGTGGAGAAGTCCTTCCCCAGAAATAAGACTTCAGTAGGTGTCAGAGTTCATACTGGAGAGAAACTGTTGGACCTCTGAAGGCAGTAAATGGGTCAGTGGTATGTTCCTCCTCATCGGTTGTCAGAGGAAATCATGTAGAAATAAAACTCTGAACATACCAACTATGGCACGTCTTCAGCAAAATATCAGAAAGTGCATGAAGCAAATAACAAATAAACCCTGTGAAAATGAATCTTTTAGAGATTTCTGTCACAATTTTAACATGATATATCAAATTGTATACATAGTGTACACTCTAGGACAGTACACCTGGAATCAGATGCCTAGTTTTGATGTCAGTGACTCCTTAATTGAAAGGAAGGCGTCTCTGTTGCACTTCATCTATGAAAGTTATAATGTGGTACATTCCCCTCTGTGGGCTTCCCTAGTAGCTCAGATGGTGAAGAATCTGCCTGCGATGCAGGAGACCTGGCTTCGATCCCTGGGTTGGGAACATCCCCTGGAGAAGGAAATGGCAACCCACTCCAGTATTTTTGCCTGAAGTATCCTATGGATAGACCATGGGTGTCACAAAGAGTCAGACATGACTGAGCAGCTAACACTAACATACACTCCCCTCTGTGAAGGGACATGAGTCTTCTTTTCCCACTCAGGATCATTATATGATTAGCTCTTGCATTTCTTCAGTTCTAACTTTACTCAGTTTGTTGTTTCAGCTTATCAAAGTCCTTCAAAAGGAAACAAAATATGTTTAATCTGATAATGTAACAGCATGTTTGGATGTGCTTAACTTTATACATCTCACTTGGAGGAACAGAGCTCAAAATTCATGAAGAATCTATCAGCCAAGCTGTGGCTCTAGAAGATAGTTCCTTTCCTGAACACACACCATCCAGAAAAAAACTTTTTAACAACTGTTTCCTTTGACTTGGTCCTGTCCTAGGACCTAGAAATGATGACAGTGATGAACTTAAGAGGAAATCCTTTCCACCTTTGAGCTGGCAATTTTTTAAGGCTAGATTTCATGCCTATGGTAATTTTACCCTCAGTCAAAGATAATCAAAGTATGTGTACACCTACATGAGCTGAAAAGGACATATAAGGAACGAAGTATTTCTGATAATTTTCTATTCAAGGTGAAAGGTTTTTGCGTGAAAGGCGCCGGGATTCTTGGCCTCTGGAGGAGAGGAATTCAATCCAGGGCCAGTGACGAGGCTTGATCACGCAGAGCTTTTGTGTGACAAAGTTTTATCAAAGTATAAAAATGATAGACAAAGCTTTTGACACTGATATCAGAAGGGGGCAGAAAGAGTGTCCCCTTGCTAGTTTTTCGCAAGCTGTTTTATGTCTGTTAGAAAGCTGTTAATCAGATAAGAGAGACACCTCAAGACTGAGGGAGTTTCACCAGGCCACTCTTCCACAGTATACATTTTTGAGATAGGATGGAATGAGGTGTGTCATCTCCCAGCCATAAAACAATTAATATGAATACTGATTTGTTGAGCTATTATCAGCCCAAGGTTTGAGAAAAGAAAAAAAGTTAGTCTTAGGTAGAACCATTTTGAAAAAAGGCAAATTCCAAGCAAATACATAGTTTCATTAACATAGCTTAAGTAAAACATTTCCATAAGGAAAATGCATTGGTTAGCTCAAAATTTGAGAAAAGTTCAGTTCAGGTGGACCCAGGTTTTGTCATGGCAACACAGAATTTTAAGAGAAACCTCCTTTTAATTTTGTATAGAGAAGGAAAAAAATCTGACACTTGTAGTTTTTTTTTCCCTGCTGCTTAAGCGGGAGATAAAAAAATTCTGACGCTTGCAGCCTGTTTCCTCCCTTTGGAGATCCATGGCCTTCATGCCTGTTACCCTCTCAAAGGGACATATTAGAAGAGAAAGGGCAAATAATTCATTTAAGTTTACATAGAAAAGGGTATGGATACTTTAAAAAAAATGTTCACATTGTTCCACCTAGATTATAAATTCTTTGTTAGTTTATACATAATGGTATAGTCCCCATTTCATAGCAAAATAGGAAATGAATTATATGTAGATTTGAAAAATTAATGACCTCAGGAACTAACCAATCAAAGTTATTTTGTCGCTGAAGGAAAGGACCTACTGGAAAGCAGTTCTCAGGATCAGAATTATTGCAAGGAACCTTTTTGAATCGAGCCTTCTGTCAGAATATAAGATGTGCAGATCAGAGAAGGAATAGTGAGGTATTTAATCCTAATGTCTTAGTGTGACATAATGATGAATGTATTTGGTCACTGCTCTTGGTTCCTGACACAAAGGTCATGAAACCCTTGTAATTTCCTGAGTGATGGGAGTGATAGGAACATCTTATACAGAGCTGTTAAACCCCTTGGAATTTCCTGGGTGATAGGAATGTCTGCTCTTATAAGGTGACTCTGGGTGGGCTTCTGCCTATCTCCTAAGTGAGGCTGGTCACCAGAAAGACCAAACCATGATTAGAAGCTTGGAACTTTCTACTTTATCCTCATATACTATGGGGATGGGAGAGGGGCTAGAAATTGAGTTAATAATTATTTATTTAAATATATATATGACATCATTTGAATTTCCTATCTTTAAAATGTAGCCATGAGTCAGGTATATCATTTTTTTAAAGGAAAGGCAACATATATATGTATATATTTAATAATACATGTAATGATATATACATGTTTGTCAAAAAAGGACCTTCCATGTTGTGTTGGGGGGCTTCCCTGGTAGCTCAGCTGGTAAAGAATCCACCTGCAATGTGGGAGACCTGGGTTCAATCCTTGGGTTGGGAAGATCCCCTGGAAAAGGGAATGGCTACCCATTTCAATATTCTTGCCTGAAGAATTCCATGGACAGAGGAGCCTGGCAGGCTACAGTCCATGGGGTCACAAAGAGTTGGACACAACTGAGTAACTCTCGCTTTCACTATTGTGTTGGGGGGTCCTCAAGACCACCCTCAGGTCTGATAATCTGCTAGAAAGACTGATAGAACTCAGAAAACTTGTTCTCCTCAAGGTTACATGTATAATAGAAAGAACAGACACTAAAATCAGCAAGGGGAAAAGGAAAAACCACACCCACACTGATACAGGGTGGAAGCTCTAGATCCCATGGCATCAGTGGACCTCTGCAGGGACTGGAAACTAAAATCAGGCCTGTGGGTTTCCTTCCAGGCTGCTGGGATCCAGCCCCAGATAAAGACTGGACATTGGGGTTCAGGGGAGCTTCGCTGGTTGGTGATACCCCCTGCCTGCCTGCTGTCACACATTTATGTCAGGAAAGTAACCCTCACTATTATATATAAAATAGATAACCATGGGAATTCTCTGGCAGTCCCATGGTTAGGACTCTGCCCTTCTACTGCAGGTGACACAGATTCCATCCTTGGTTGGGGAACTACTATTCTGCAAGCCTCAAGGTGTGGCCAAATAAAAAATATAACCAACAAGAGCCTATAGTATAGGACAGAGAACTATACTAAATATTTTATAGTAACCTATTAAGGAAAAGAATCTGAAAAAGAATATATATTCACGTGTGTGCATGCTAAGTCACTTCAGTCATGTCTGACTCTTTCTGACTCTATGGATTATAGGCTGTCAGGCTCTTCTATCCATGGGATTCTCCAGGCAAGAATACTGGAGTAGGTTGCTGTGCCCTCCTCCAGATCTTCCCAACCTGGGGATCAAACCTGGGTCTCTTATGTCTCCTGCGTTGGCAGGTGGGTTCTCTATCACTAGCACCTGGGAAGCCCAATATATATGAATACTTGAATTATTTTGCTATATATCTGAAACTAACACAACATAAATCAACTATACTTCAATTTTTTAAATTTAACATTTTTTAAATTAAAGGGATTTATTATGTATATGTCAAACTCTGGCTTCCTTGGTGGCTCAGATGGTACAGAATCTGCCTGCAATTCTGGAGACCTGGGTTCGATCCCTGGGTTGAGAAGATCTGGAGAAGGGAATGGCAACCCATTCCAGTACTCTTGCCTGGAGAATCCCATGGACACAGGAACCTAACTGGCTGCAGTCCACAGTGTTGCAAAGAGTCAGACACTACTCAGCAACTAACACCATGTAAAACTGAATCACTTTGCTGTGCATCTGAAACTAACACAACATTGTAAATCAATTATACTTCAATTAAAAAATAAGGGGGAAAAAAGTCACACTGCCCATGATTCCATTGTTGGAAAGGGACCTGGAAGCTCCATTTGGAACTTTCCCAGACTCTGCCCTTCCAGTCTCTTCCCTTGCCTGATGTTAATCTGTATCCTTTAGCTGTTATGAACCCTCACTCTGAGTAGAACAGCTTTCAGTGACTCCTGAGCCCCTCTTGCAAATTATTGTCATCTTAGGGAATATTGGAAAATGGAACTAACTTCCTGCTATGACCTTTGGTTCCATGGCTGTCAGTCACTTTCTGAGAATTGTTTATGGCATTGGTGTATAGGGTTAAACATTGACGCCAACGGATGAACCTGAGGTCTGTGCCACAGCCTGTGTTCTCAAGATCTGTTTCCTCAGGGTGAGTGGGTCTTCGAGCTTAGGGCTGGGGGTGAAGGGAGGAATATGAGCTGGAGCAGGGCATAAAATGGGTAGTATCCCTGTAAGTGACTGGCAAAGACTTCTTGGGGAGGTGACGAAGATGCACAGGACTGTGGGGAAACCAGTTCTTTGAGGTCATTTTTGTACACGGATGTTCATAGTTCTATTTGCAGTATCCAAAAAACTGGAACCAATTCAAAGGTCCACCCATTGGTGAATGATTAAATTTTGGAATATCCAACAATGAATACTAAAGCAACAAAAAGGAACTAACTATTGATACTTTAGTAAAGATGAATTTCAAAACAATTATGCTATGTGAAAGAAGCCAGAGCATACCGTACTAATTTTATGAAAAGAACGCAGACTAATGTATAGTGACAGAAGGCTGTCCTGTGCTGCCTAGGATATGCCAAGTTTTGTATTTCGTCCGTGTAATTAGCTCACTTGAGACGTGGCTCACAACGTCCACTGTTTTCTGCTCACATCGTGATCGCTATACTAATGAGTTTTCCAAACCTCGGTTTTCCTCAAACACTTAACCGGGCAATTGCACGCCTAGCCCCGCCCCGCACATTGCACTTGCTCTGCGTACGGACACCGAACCTCTTTTAAGATGGCTGCTTCCATGGTGCTCCTGCCCAATGGCTACAGAGCGCCTCCAGTTTTTGTTTTTTTCCAAGTACGCTTAAGTTTTCATACGGTCTCTAGATCTTTTCGGGGTTAAACCAGTGATCGAGATGTCCAGAAGTGATTTTAATTTCCCACGGAGCTGAGACACCACAGCCATTAACAGCCGCTTAGAATGTATGCCTGCGCCCTTCTGGTCTTGATAGGCTCCGACCTTAGAAAGCGGGCCCTGTCCATTCATAAGAATTTACCCTCACGTCATGATTGCTTTGCATGAGCTCGAACCTCTTAAAATCGCCCCATTTTCCTTGGGCCAGGAATTAGAATATCAGCCGTGGTTTCTCAGCAGACCCGTACGCCATCTGTACGTCAGATGCGCAAAGATGGCGGCCCCCAAGGGGCCGAGGCGGCAGTGGTGGCGCTTATATATTAGCTCATAAGGAAATGCCGGAAACGCCCTATCGTTCACCATAGAAACGCTGTAGAAACGCCGCTGTTCCTTGACGGTTGGTGTCGGTAGAGGGGGCTGGGCGAGGGGACCAGAAGTGAAAGAAGCTTAGGGAAGAAAGTTAGGCCATCAAGAGGTGGCTGCAGGTTCAGGAGAGAACCAGGTGGGTTTGTGGGTCTGGCTGTAAGAAGGGCGGGGATGGGGGCGGTCTGTCGGCCTTTAGGTGGGTTGTGGCTCCTTCCAGCCCTTGAAGTTAGCACGAGGGCGGGTGGCGGTTTGATTTTGTTTTGAGGGAAGCGTGTACTGAACGTCCGTGATCGGGGTGTCTTTGGGGTCAGTCATGGGCTCTGGTGGTTACCGATTAAAAGTCTGAACAGATCAACTACTGAGAGTCCTGAGGTCAGGGTTTCGTGTCTTGGCGGATGACAACTAGTGCGGTGGGGATTGTCAGTGAATGCGGCGTCTTGTTCGGGTTTTCGAATAATTCGAAGCTCAAAGTCGAGGAACCGTTAAGGGAGGTCAGTATACGTGTGTATCTGACCCGGTTTGGTATTAGTCAGTTGGGCGGGGGGAGGGTAACGGTCACTGTCTTTCGTGCAGAAATGCGTGACGCAGAAGGCTTGGAGGCTCAGGAGCACTGGTAGGTTCGTGTGTTTAGCTCAGACTTTGGCTAATGAACTTAACATTGCCCGAAAACTTCAGCTCCAAGTCCCTGACCCACCAGTTTTCTAGTCCCTTTATATTTTGTCTTTATTATTCTTCCTGCAAGTTGACTGCCTTATTCATTTCCCCAGTATTTATATTTTTGAATTGTTTTTTGTATTTATAGCTCGTATTTTTTTTTTTTTTTTAGTTTTGTGGGTTTTTAAAAATTTTAATTGGAGGATAATTACGATACATTTTGCCATACATTCACATGAGTCAGCCATGGGTGTACATGTGTTCCCCATCCTGACCCTCCCTCCCATCTCCCTCCCCATACCATCCCTCAGGGTCGTCCCAGTGCACCAGCCCTAAGCAGTCTGTCTGATGCATCAACCTGGACTGGCCATCTATTTCACATATGATAATATACATGTTTCAATGCTATTCTCTCAAATCATTCTCTGATAATGAGTGATGTTGAGCATCTTTTCATGTGTTTGTTAGCCATCTGTATGTCTTCTTTGGAGAAATGTCTATTTAGTTCTTTGGCCCATTTTATGATTGGGTTGTTTATTTTTCTGGAATTGAGCTGCAGGAGCTGCTTGTATATTTTTGAGATTAATTCTTTGTCTGTTGCTTCATTTACTTTTATTTTCTTCCATTCTGAAGGCTGTCTTTTTTCACCTTGCTTATTGTTTCCTTCATTGTGCAAAAGCTTTTAAGTTTAATTAGGTCCCATTTGTTTTTGTTTCTATTTCCATTACTCTGGGAGGTGGGTCATAGAGGATCCTGCTGTGATTTATGTTAGTGTTTTGCCTATGTTTTCCTCTAGGAGTTTTATAGTTTCTGATCTTATATTTAAATCTTTAATCCATTTTGAGTTTGTTTTTGTGTATGATGTTAGGAAGCATTCTAGTTTTATTCTTTTACAAGTGGTTGACAAGTTTTCCCAGCCCCACTTGTTAAAGAGATTGTCTTTTCTCCATTGTATATTCTTGCCTCCTTTGTCAAAAATAAGGTGTCCATACGTGCGTGGATTTATCTGTGGGCTTTCTATTTTGTTCCATTGATCTATGTTTCTGTCTTGTGCCAGTACCATATTGTCTTGATGACTGTAGCTTTATAGTATAGCCTGAAGTCAGGCAGGTTGATTCCTCCAGTTCCATTCTTCTTTCTCAAGATTGTATAGCTTATATTCTTTTTCTGATTTGCTCATTGGCCCTCGTGTTGAACATGTATTTAAACAAGGGATATGAAGACTTTTAAAGAGGTGTCAGGGCAACAAAATTTAAAGGAAGAATTTTACAGTTTCTCAATGCCTGGATGGCTTCGTATATATAACTGTTCTGAAAATTACCTGCCACTGAAATGTAGTGCTGTGCTAATTCTCCTTGGCCACGTCCCCCATCAAATTCATGCTACTCCCACATATTCAGGGAATTAGGTTTCACTGGCCCGAGGTGTGAAATTCTCTGGGAAACTAAATGGAGAGACAGAAATACTGGGGACTGTAGTATTAAGGTGAGAGTGCACAGAAAGTAGGAATATAATCCTAAAAGTAATTTTGCTTTTCAACCCACAGGTTTAAACAACAGACAAGATATGAATGCAGAAAGAGGAGGTTCCAGGACCTCGATATTGTTATTTCTGGGGACACTCTGGAAGCTGTGATATCTAAGTAGAAATTAACAGGAATATCCAGAAGAGACAGAGACAGAACCTCTGTGTTGCCCGCTGTTTTCAGAGAACAAAGAATATGATCCAGGCACAGGTGACTCATGTCTTATTTTATTCTGTCCTTTATTCCTTAATGGATTTGTAGAGCCTGTTAAAAACAAAAATCCAGTTCAGTAGAGAGAAATAAACTGAATCTAACCCCAACACCATGGCAAAGTGGGATTAAGAATGTAGTGTTTATGTGATTCCTGTGAAACTAGTGTTAGAACATCATGTGTATCTGTCACTGACCCTGTGTGCACACCTGTAGATGTGTGTCCATTTACAAATGTATGTGGCTTCGTGCACATATCTGTGTACATAAACACATCTGTTAGGATGTTTTGTGCAACAAAAAATTACACTCTTAAAGAAAATCCTGTTGCCCTAAGATGATATAAACATCCAAACGAATAATGACTGCAATTGTTCAGTGAATATTAGCTGTATAAAATTCCATTTGTCTATTTGCTGTGCTGTGCTTAGTCACTCAGTCGTGTCCGACTCTTTGTGACTCCATGGGCTTTAACCTGACAGATTCCTCTGTCCATGGAATTCTCCAGGCAAGAATACTGGAGTGGGTTGCCATTTCCTCCTCCAGGGGATCTTCCCAACCCAGGGGTTGAACTGACGTCTCCTATGTCTCCTGCATTGCAGACAGATTCTTTACCGACTGAGCCATTTGTCTATAATCATACTCAAAAAACTGTGTTAAACTATGTAAAGCATTTAGAGGAGTGCCTGCCACATGGTAAGGGCTGTGTGAGGTCATCCATACCTTTAGTCTTCGATAGCACTTAATACTGGGATATTATCAAATTGTATAATTTTCATCAATCTTTTTTTTTTTTTTTGCCATATTTTGCATTTACTTCATCACAGACAAGGTTGAAATCTGTCTTGTATATTAATTGGTCAGCTGCATTTTTTTCTCTTGAGAAATATCTGTCCTTTTCATTTTTACATTAACAAGATTATCTTTTTCTTCTGATTAATGAGTCATTCCTATCCACTATATATTGATTTCTTTCTCTCTCTTTTAATGTGGCATGTGGGACCTTCTTTCCCTGACCAGGGATTGAACCTGCAGTGGAAACATGGATTCTTAAGCTCTGGACTCCTGGGGAAGTCCTCTTTCTTTTGTTTCTAAAAAATATTTTCCCGGCTTATCACTTTTCTTTCAGCTTTGCCCATGATATCTTATTTAAAATCTTTTTAAAATTGAAGTATAGTTGATTTATAATATTGTGTTAATTTCTGCTGTATACCAAAGTGATTCTGTTTATACATATATATACATTCTTTTTTCATACTATTTTCCATTATGGCTTGTCACAGTATATTGAATATAGTTCTCTGTGCTGAACATTAGAACTTTATTTATCCATTCTCTATATATAATAGTTTGCATCTGCTAATCCAAATCTCCCAACCCATTTCTCCTCTAACCCCCACTTTGGCAACCATGTCTATTCTCTGTGTGAGTCTGTCTCTATTTTGTAGCTAGGTTCCTTTGTGTCATATTTTAGACATGGGACTGAGCCCTTACCCATTGCCACATGATCCTCTCTTCAGGTTGATCATGTCAGAATTGAATAGTTGGACACACAGCTGGTGTCAGACAATTGCTTGGTGGTGTGTTTAAAAAAACATACACATGAGGATTGGTATAAACATCGTACTTAATATGAGCAGGATAGCTTCCTTTATATTCTTTATGAATGAATTGAAGAGAAACACTTGTATTAAACCAGGAATCTGTTACTCCAGGAAACCCTGTCATTCAACGATGTGGCCGTGGACTTCACGTGGGAAGAGTGGCAGCTCCTGGCCCCTGCTCAGAAGACCCTGTACCGGGATGTGATGCTGGAGAACTATAGCAACCTGGTGTCCGTGGGTGAGGACAGCTCCCTTGGGTCCTTCAAAGGGTCCCCAGTCAGTTGCCTTTATTTTCTCAGCTGATTAAACTTTGAAATCACTGCAGTGCCCTATGGCAGATTCTCATTGCCTCTTCTAGCTCCTGATAAAAGGGTATATACAATGTGCCATGAACTGTTTTTATGCCCAACACGACTGACACCAAGTATCTGGGTTTTTTCTATACTAGTAACCAATTCTCCTACTTTCCAGGTACAGCCTGGGTGTCCCGCAATTCAACCCTTTTTTGACACTAACCACCCAAATTCAGCATTATACCCCAGAGGCTTACAGGCTCCCCTCAGATGTAAGTTGAACATATTAGGTGTCCAGGGTACCCACACTTGTGTCTGACTTGACTATAAACTGAGCCTTTGGGACTTCCCTGGTGGTCCAGTGGTTAAGACTTCACACTTGCAATGCAAGGAGCACAAATTTGATCCCTGGTTGGGAAACTGAGGTCCCACATGCCACAGGGCATGGCCAAACATTTTTTTAAATTACATTAAAAAAAAAAAAGCATCCCCATGCCCCACCCCTCAGCACTTGACAATTTTTTAGAATGGCTCACAGAACTCAGGAAAGCACTTTACTTACCATTACCAGTTTATTGTAAAGGATAAAACTCAGGAATAGCCAGATGGAAGAGATGCCAGGGGCAGAGTTAAGGAGGAGGGATCATGGTCCTTCCATGAGTGCTCCAAGTGTGTCACAACCCAGAAGCTCCCCCAACCTGGTTGTATTGGGTTTTTTATGCCGATTTCATTGTGTAGGCATGTTTTCTAAAATCACTGGCTGTGGGTGGTTAACTCAGTCTCCAGTCCCCTCTCTCTGTGTGGCGGGGATGAAAAGTGAAAGAAAGTGAAAGTCGCTTAGTTATGTCCAACTGTTTGCAACCTCATGGGCTATACAGTCCACAGAATTTTCCAGGCCAGAATACTGGAATGGTTATCTGATCGCTTTTCTAGCAGATCTTCCTGACCCAGGAATCGAACTGGTGTCTCCTGCATTGCAGGTGGATTCTTTACCAACTGAGCTATCAGGGAAGCTTATGGCAGGGGTAGGAGGAGCTGAAATTTCTAACCTTCTGTTCATGCCTTGGTTTTTCTGGCAGCCAGTCTCCACTCTTAAACTCCCTAGGGCCCCTAGCCACCAGTCATCTTATCAGCACACAGAAGACACTTGTGCCAAGAACTGGAATTTAAACCAAATGCTGTAACAAAAGAGGTTTCTGCCATGCCTCTCACATAGGAAATTACAAGGTCTTCATTTTTATTTTAATTTTAAAAGTATTTATTCAGCTGTGCCAGGTCTTCCCAGGTGGCACTAGTGGTGAAGAACCCGCCTGCCAATGTAGGAGATACAAGAGACTAAGGTTTGATCCCTGGGTCAGAAGATCCCCTGGAGAAGGTCATGGCAACCCACTCAAGTATTCATGCTGAAAAATCCCATGGACAGAGAACCTGGCGGGCTAGAGTCCATAGGGTCACAAAGAGTCGGACATGACTGAAGTGACTTAGTTTGCACACCAGGTCTTAGTTGTGGCAAAAAGGATCTTCAAGCTCTATTGTGCCATGTGGGGTCTTTAGTTGCAGCATATGGGATCTATTTCCATGACCATGGATCAAACCCAGGCCCTTTGCACTGGAGTCTAAGCCACTGAACCACAAGGGCTACAGAAGCTCTCTGCCAGAAACCAGGGGTGGAGACCAAAGATATCATCATATCATAACATCCCATGAGTCTCTCTTGAGTGCAAAGCCTGTGCTTGGCAGATGTGAAAACCAATCCCTCAAATGTAAAATTCTCCTGTCTTGACCAGCCCCAGCCCAATTCAGTGGGACTAAGTCTTCTATCATTTTCCATGATCAGGGTATAGAGTCAGCAAATCAGATGTGCTGTCCAAGTTGGAACAAGGGGAAGAACGATGGATGACAGAAGATGAACTCCACAGTCACACCTGGCCAGGTGAGTGAGAACTGGTTGGTAACTGCAGATGTCCTGAGCTAGACAGGTAGAAGAGGCTGGGGAGTGTCTGAAAATGCAGAAACTTGCCTCTGCATAGCTCTCTCCCATAAAAGAATTTTTAGGCCTTGAGAGGGAAATATACCTGTTTTCGCTCCTGAGATCTGATCCTTGATTTTATTTCACATCTTGATTTTTGTTTGCCTTGTTTTCTCCTTCCTTGGATTTTATAACTCACTCCTTTGAACCCTGTCACAAATCCCTTTCACTTCCCTGGCTGTGGAATCCCACCTTCCAGGCCTCAGCTCAAGAAGAAATCTTTTGTGTGTGTGTTTTTTTTTTTAAATTTTTGGCCATACTGCATGTGGGATCAAACCTATGTGCCCTACAGTAGAAGTCCAGAGTCTTGACCACTGGCCCACCAGGGAAGTCCCTGTATTACTTTGGTTTTACTAATGTGTAAGAAATAAGGAACATTTATACAGGGGGTGTTTGTTTCATACTGTTATCATAAGGTTGCCACTAAAGTATGATTTTTAAAAAACACTAAGGAAGTTTTTAACCAATTTTATTCCAAACAGGAATAAAAAGGATTCATTATTTTCTTCTTTCCTAGAAACTGGCAATGTTGGTAATCATCTGCAGGTTGACTGGGAAAATAAAAAAATGCTGAAAGGTATTGAACAATACCAGGAACATAATACATTTGGAAATCCTGTTCCTCAAAGCCAAAGTTATTTCTCTTTCAGGCAAAATCATGATATGTTTGAGTTCTATACAAAAACTTTGAAGTCAAATTTAAGTTTAGTCATCGAGAGCCAAAGCTATGAAATTAAAAACTCTACTAAATGTAATGGAGATGGGAAATCATTTCTGTTTGGTAAACATGAAAAATGTCATTCTCCAGTTAAATGCCCTGTAAGTGCAAAACCCATCAGCACTAAGTCCCAAGTCATTAAGCACCAAATAACTTACAACATAGAGAAAGCCCATATATGCAGTGAATGTGGGAAAGCCTTTGTTAAGAAGTCTCAGCTCACTGATCATCAGAGAGTTCATACAGGAGAGAAACCTTATGGATGCAGTCTGTGTGCAAAAGTATTCTCCCGGAAGTCCAGGCTCAATGAACATCAGAGAATTCATGAGAGAGAGAAATCTTTTATATGCAGTGATTGTGGAAAAGTCTTCACCACGAAGAGCCGTCTGATTGAACACCAGCGAACTCACACAGGAGAGAAACCTTACGTATGCAGTGACTGTGGAAAAGGCTTCCCAGGGAAACGTAATCTCATCTTACATCAGCGAAATCATACTGGAGAGAAATGCTATGTATGTAGTGAATGTGGAAAAGGCTTCACTGGAAAGAGCATGCTCACTATACACCAGCGAACTCACACTGGAGAGAAACCCTACATCTGCAATGAGTGTGGGAAAGGCTTTACCACAAAGCACTATGTCATCATCCACCAACGGAATCATACAGGAGAGAAACCCTACATATGCAGTGAATGTGGGAAAGGTTTCATCATGAAGAGCCGTCTGACTGAACATCAGCGAATTCATACAGGAGAGAAGCCGTATGTGTGCAATGAATGTGGAAAAGGCTTTCCCAGAAAGGGTAATCTGATTGTACATCAGAAGACTCATACAGTAGAGAAATCCTATGTATGTAGTGAATGTGGAAAAGGCTTCACCGTGAAGAGCATGCTTACCATACATCAACGAACTCACACTGGAGAGAAACCCTACATCTGCAGTGAGTGTGGGAAAGGCTTCCCATTAAAGAGTCGGCTGGTCGTGCATCAGCGAACACATACTGGTGAAAAACCTTACCGATGCAGTGAATGTGGGAAAGGCTTCGTTGTGAACAGTGGACTGATGTTACATCAGCGAACTCACACTGGAGAGAAACCCTATAAATGCAATAAATGTGGAAAAGAGTTTGCCTTTAAGAGCAATCTTGTGGTACATCAGCGAACTCATACTGGAGAGAAACCCTTTACATGCAGTGAGTGTGGAAAAGGTTTCACCATGAAACGCTATCTCATTGTACATCAACAAATTCATATGGGAGAGAAGTCCTATATATGCAGTGAATGTGGAATAGGTTTTGTCATGGAAACAGAGCTCATTTTACATCAGCAGATTCATACTGGAGAGAAACCTTATGCCTGCAGTGATTGTGGCAGAGGCTTCACTGTGAAAAGCCGTCTAGTGGTTCATCAGCGGACTCATACAGGAGAGAAACCTTTTGTATGCAGTGATTGTGGAAAAGGCTTCTCCTCAAAAAGGAATCTCCTTGTACATCAAAGAACTCATAATGGAAACAAACCATAAAAGCAATGACTATGATCACACCTACAGGAAGAAAATATGCTTTGTCCAACATCAGAGATTTCTAACCTTTATATATACTGACTGTGGAAAATCCTATTCAGCATTGGTATTGGTCTCATTACCCACCAGAAAGTTTACACAGGAGACAAACTGTATGTATGCAATTAAAGTGAGAAAGCCTTCAACACAAATTCAACACTCACTGTACCTCAAAGAACTCATAAAAGAGAGAGACTATGAATCCAGTGATTGGGGTAATCTTTTGTCAACCCTTGTTAATACACATGAGAAACATATAGGTCAAAGTACATAATTCTTTGTAGAAACTCTAAACTCATTATATACAAGTGAATTTGTTTAGGATAAAAAAGATGATAGTTCAGTGAACTCATTAAACATCGTGTGCTTCTAGCACACTTGACTATCGTCAGTGTAGATTAGCCTGCTGCTAGACTTCACCCTTAGGAAATATGAAATTTGCGGAGGGGTGAAGTTTATTGAATGAAGAGAATGTGCTAGTGCCTTCAGTGATCAGTTACCTCACATTTTATTGTCTAAATTAACATGTAGGAAAAGCTCTGATACATTCGATGCAGAAAAAGCTTGAGAAAGCATTTTTAGGTACTAATTATATGTCTGAAAAGTATATGCTAAGATAAATCCTATGAATGGAGAGACTAGGAAAGCCTTCTATGGAAATAAAAACCCTGTCTCATCAGTGATCATAATAGATCACCAGTGAGCTCATACATCGTAACAATATGATGATCGTGGGAAAGCCTTTGCCTGGAAATAAAACCTCAGTAAGTTGCCTGATATGCATGCTGGAGAAAAATTTTCTGATGGCAATGAGAGTGGCAGGATTTCAGTGATACATTCTGCCTCATTGCTTTTCATGAATTCACACAGAAATAAAATGGTTATGGACCCACTAAATATGGAGTAACTTTAGCAAAATATCTGATTTCTGAAGGAAAGAAACCTCATGAAAATGACATATACTTGAACTTTCTATCAGAAGTCTAAATTTATTATACACCTGATGTCCATTTTGGGGCAGAATACCTTGAACCATATCAGTGATTCCATAATTTTAAAGTGGGCTAGTCTCGACACTAATTTGTAATGTTATATACAATACAGGAGTGTTCTGTGCCCACCTTGTATTATTATATGTTTCACTCTTGCATTTCTTAGGTTCTAAATTCAACTGTCTACAGTGTACTTCAAAATAAAAAGGAATATATTCATAAATGTAATCCAGCATAACTGGATGTATTTATCTAAGTTTAAAAGTAGCATTAGGTAGTTTACAAACACTTTAAAAATGATTTTTCTAAAATTCGTTTTGAAATAGTTTTAGACTCCCAAGTAATTACAAAATATACCAAGTTCCCACATACCCTTACTCAGTTTCTTCAGTGATGTTATGTTACATAACCATAATACATCATCAAACCCAATAAAATGGCATTGGTGCAGTGCTGTTAAGTAAACTGGATCTTATTTGGATTTTAGTAGGTTTTTGCATGCACTAATTTGTATGAAGTTTTTTGTTTTTCGTATATATTTTTAAGAAATTTTACCTTATACATAAGATTTCTGTAAAGCCTACCACAATTGGGATGCAGAATTGTGCCAACACAAAGAAACATCCTCCTGCTACCCCTCTGTGGTCACACTCTTCCCCACCCCTGACCATGGTGACCCTTGGTCAAACTCCATCACTCCAACTTGGTTATTTCAACAATGCTGTTAAAATGGAATCATACAGTATGTAGCCTTTGCGATAGGCTTTGTTTCACTCAGCAAATTGCTTTTAAGATCCATCCAATTTTTTTGGTGTATAAATAGTTTTACTTGTTGTTAATAGCATTCTTTGTATGGCTGTACAATGACTTATCTGTTTACTGTTGACTGATGTCTGGATTGTTTTTCATTGTTTTGAATAAAACCCTATGAACATTTGTGGACCCAACTTTATGGGAAAAGAAGTATTTGTTCCTTTGGGGTAAATACCCAGCAGTCATATGTTACATTTGTGTTTAACTTATAAGAGACTGCCAAATTTTTCTAGAGTGGCCGTACTAATTTACATGCTCACCAGTAGTGTATGAACACCCTGGATGTTCCATGTCTTTTCTAGCAGTTGGCACTATCATACTTGATTCCAGACATCCTGTCAAGTATGTGGTAGTAGATAATGATGGCCTTAATTTACAATTCCCTAACAGTGAATATCTCAACACTTCTACCTACATTGAGAACCATATCAGGTAAAGTTGTCATGTCTGCTTTCAACCACCCAATGTAATTTTAAAAAACTCAAAAGGAGACTAACCTATTCTATTTGATGATCTGTTTACCCTTTCCATTCCTTTTTCTTCATTCCTGATGTCACATGTTTCCTTCTGTTATTTTCTTTTTGTCAGTCTCCTTTATCAATTCTTTTTGGGCAGGACTGCTTGTAACAAATTCTTAGTTTTCCAAGCAATAGATCTCTTCTCTTGTCTCTATCCAGAGTTAATTTCTTTGATATAATGATATTTAACCCAGTTTACAAATGATGAGTGTTGCTTTTAGGGGAAAAAGAAAAAGACATTTGCCATAGAGTATTGTGGCAGTATTCAGTATCCAACTGCATGGTAAGTAATTCATTCCTTTAAAAATATTTGTTAAGCATCTACATTTGGCCAGACACTGTTTTAGTCACTGGAGACTCATTAGTGAACAAAATAGGCAAAGCCCTGGCCTTCATGGAGCATACAGTCTAGTGAAGGCGACTGAGTAAATACACATCAGAATATCAGTTCTGCTAAATGTTTTGGAGAAATATTAAACCTAGTAATACGCTGTCATGGGGAAGCTATTTTAGAAAGGGTTTCCAAGGAAGGCTCTTGTGGGCAAATGTAATTTGAATCAACATCTAAATGTACCAGGGGGAGCCAACAAGATCTGTTGTGAGCCAAGAGCACACTAGATGTGTTTCTAAGTGTTTTCTCTGGGCTTCCTACCTCAGGATTCTCTGAGAGGCTTGTAAAAGATGCAAGCTCGAGTCACACTGCAGACCCAAACCAGAACCTGTGAGACTGGCGACCCCAGACTCTGGGTTTATAAAATGACCTTTCTGATCTATATTTAAATTTGAACAGCTCTGCCCTAAATCCCAGATTAGTGCAGCCACTCCCACCCCACATTGTCACAGGATGGATTCTGGGCAGATATTCTACAACAAAGAATCAGACATGAGGACCCCACCTACCAGGTCCTCAGATGCTTTCTCCTTGTCCTTCTGTGAACCTACACATGCTGCCATGGCAGCGTCACAGCAGCTCATTCCTGAAACTGATCAGTCAGGGTCACAGAATGGGCTGCCCTGAGTTCTCTGGACAACATGTTCAACTCACCTTTCAGAGTTTGACATCTCAGGTGAACAGGGCTGAAATTTAATCTCTGAAAGGAGTGTAATACTATTAAGAAATTATGAAAACAAATTCTTAATGTATAAAAATTAAAAAGCATATACAAACAAAATTTGTCACCCATATTGTACCTAAGAGCAAAATACTGTTAACGATATATTCTTCTCCAGATTTCAAATACAGGTAAGTATATTTTTTACAAAAGAAAAATGAGACAAGTCTATATTTACTATGTTATGAACATCTACATCATTCAGTATTCTAAAACTTTTCTAAAATGGGCATGTCTTTATAATAAAGTAAAACAATTACTATACAAAGATATTAACAATGAAGAATTGCAAAAACTGGGAATGTGAAAACTTATATTCTTTACTCATAAGCACAAAGTAATCCAAGCTAAATAGTTAACCAACCAGAATTTTCAAAAAGAAAAACATTTATGGTTTGTTCTCATAAAAGGATCAAAATATATACACTATGCTGCAGATTCTTTTTATCTTCTGAAGACTACTTCAGTTTAGTTGCTCAGTTGTGTCCAACTCTTTGCAACCCCATGGACTGCAGCAAGCCAGGCCTCCCTATCCATCACCAACTCCCAGAGTTTACTCAAACTCATGTCCATTGAGTCGGTGGTGGCATCCAACCATCTCATCCTCTGTTGTCCCCTTCTCCTCCTGCCTTCAATCTTTCCCAGCATCGGGGTCTTTTCAAATGAGTCAGTTCTTTGCATCAGGTGGCCAAAGTATTCGAGTTTCAGCTTCAGTATTAGTCATTCCAATGAATATTCAGGACTGATTTCCTTTAGGATGGTCTGGTTGGATCTCCTTGCAATCCAAGGGACTCTCAAGAGTCTTCAACACCACAGTTCAAAAGCATCAGTTCTTCCGTGCTCAGCTTTCTTTATAGTCCAACTCTCACATCCATACATGACTACTGGAAAAACCATTTTCCTTATTTATACTAACAATCCTTAAATGTTATATACTGTTATACTGAGTGGATAGCCCATACTTTACCAAAGCATCTATTACTGTACACTTAGGCTTTTCCTTTGTTTATTATAAAAGCCTCTGTGGTTAATAAAACTTTTTACCAAATATATTGTTGGAATTAGAATTGCTGGGTCAAAGAATGAAAAATTTAAATTGGATTTAGGTTGCCTTCTAAAAACCATCTTTAAACCCTCTAGAATTAAACTTCCCATGCCTACATAAAAATAACATTTTAAAGCATTATTTTTTTATGTGTGAACTATGCCAAGTATGATAATTGCATTATCTCATAATTTTACATTCTCAAATGCCCCACTGTCACTATTTTTGAAAACATGTAGTTCACACATTTTCACCTCATCTTCTTACCCACTAGATGTCGCTATGTGTCCATCCCACGCGGATCTTAGCTTTTTTCTTTTTTTTTTAATAGAGATATACCTCTAGCTATTCCCCCTGGTTTAGCCGGTGGCAAAGAGGCGGACAAGGCTGAGGGACTGAACTGAACTAGAGGTAAGCAATCTGCTTGCAATACAGATGTCCAAGGTTCGATCCCTAGGTCCGAAAGATTCCCCCGCAGAAGGGCATGGCAAGCCACTCCAGTATTCTTGCTTGGAGAATCCCATGTATAAAAGAACCTGGCGGGCTACAGCCCATGGGATCGCAAAGAGTCGGACACTACTTAAGTGACTTCGCATGCATACCTCTTACAAAAGCTGTTAACTCTTCTAAACTACATAAGCCTTTACCCACTCCACATTTAACTGATCTCTCCACAAACCTAAGATTATAAGTGACCACTACTTTTGTCAACTCAGTGGCCGCTGCCTCTCCACGGCTTCTATTAGACCTTAATCTTCCCAAGTCACCGGGCGCCTGAGCCCTTTCCGTCGTACGGACACCTGCCTTATAAGATGGCCGCGCCTATCGGGGTCCAGCTCTAAAGTTCACAAAGGGCGCCACCATCTTTCTTTTTTCCTCAGCCGGCTGAATTCGCCACTTGATCTTGGAAGGGCATTGACCTCTGAAATCTTAACGCAGTTAGTACAGAATGGTTGGTCATTCCTTGCAACCAGGAGGTAAAAGTATTTAGGGTGCCAGGAATGATTTTAACTTCTTCCCACAGCAGTTACGGCCTGTCTCTTCAGAAACGCCGAGGTGGGTGGGGCCATGTTACGTCATAAAGCGGAGTCTGCTGACGGAATCCGGAAATCCGGCAGCGCTCCAAGGTCGTCGGCGGATCACCTGAACCTGCAGGTCTGCCTCCCGAGGGACTGTGAAAGGCGTCGGTAGAGAAAGTGGGCTGCAGCATTCTGTTGCTGCCAGTGGTGTCTGGAAGGGTTTGGGATCAGGTGAGTCGGGTTCTGGGCTTGTATTCACGGCCTGTGGGGTCTGTGAAACAGGAGCGTGCGTGAAGGACCGTAATTGGGATTTTATTTAGATTCGGCCTTAGAGACTTCTGGGAGTTAATGATGAGGCCTTTGGCAATCTGTGATTAAGAGTCTGAAGAAATCATTGACCGAAGGTCCGACTCTGTCAGGGTTTGGATCGCTCTGCTTGTGGGGCTCCGTGGTTGCGAACTCTGATGAAAGTTTGTATCAGTGAACGCGGTGTCTCGTCCTGGTTAACCTGCGACTCTTAGAGACACCCGGCTTAGGGGCTGCCTCTTCTGGTTTCTTGGTCATGTTTGGAGTTTAATCTGGCATGTAGACGGCCTGGTGGGGACTCTCAGTATTTGAGGAGGTCTGGGGTCCTTGAGAATCCGTAGGCTCAGAGTTGAATGCCGGAAACAGACTTGAAGGCTGCATTTCCCCAGTTAATTCGAGTACAATCCTCTCCTTGTAGTAAGTCCTCAAGGTCCCTACTAAAAACTTTGGCTCCCCGCATCACCACTGTTCTCACCCTCCTCACAAAATTCAGTGTGGTTGATCTAGTTATAAATTTACTGTTTTTAATGTAGTTTAATATAGTTCCTCTTGTCCCGAAGTTTGCTATACTTCTTTTGGATATTTCCGCTTAGAGTCATTCTTACTCAAGTAAAAGCTTCTCCCTTACCCTGTATTCTGTTCTGCATTGCGAATTTTTTTAATAGGCGGTTTTACATCAAAGATTTTTTTAAAATATTTGAGATTATCTGTGTAAGCATGATAGGTGACTGTATCACTTAATTTCTCTGTTCTCAACACATTTGCATCTGAGATATTTATACTTTTTAAAAATAGTTCCAGTAGTGTCAACTCAGGTTGGTGAACCACTGGCATGGTGTCTGGAATCAAATGTATTCATTAATGGAGGTAGTGTTGATGTACAGTATTCAAAAATATTCGATTATAATTTCATTAACCCATTGTGACTTTCTGATTACTTTCTGATTCTACCACTCCACTTAAAAATTTATGGCGCCTTTTTTTTTTCTAGCTACTTTTATTTTTTGGTGAACTCTTTTCCTTGACCTTTTTTGGAAATTTCAGTTGATGGGTTCTTTTTTGTTTGGTTGGTTTGGTTTTTTGTTTTTTTTTTTTACTGTAGTAAAGGAAGTCTTTTTTTATTGTGGTTTTATTTGCTGTAAAATTCACCAAGTATAAGTATACATTTCAGTACTTTGAATTTCTAGAGTTGCACAGTTCAATTTTAAAACATTTCTATCACCCCAGAAATTTTCCTTGATCTCTGTGCACTCAAGTTTCCACTCCTATATACTCATGAACATATCAACACCATGAAGTCAGTGAACATACCTGTCACACTGAGAAGTTTCACTGTGTTCCTTTTTAGTCTCTGCCTGTCATATTCCACACACCTCCCCAGGCAACCACCAATCTATTCTACATTACAATAGGTTACTTTATATTTTTAAAAAACATTTATGTAAATTGAATCATACAGTGTACATTCATTTTCATTCTAACTTGTTTCATCAGCATTCAGTTCAGTTCAGTTGCACAGTCGTGTCCAGCTCTTTGTGACCCCATGGACTGCAGCACGCCAGGCCTTCCTGTCCATCACCAACTCCCAGAGTTTACTCAAACT